GGTAAACACTCTTCTGATAGCTTACTAAATTTAGCAGCGTCTGGTCGTCTTTCCTTACTATATGGGACGGAGGTACAACATAGTAAAAAAAGAAAATGTACAATGAAAATTTCGGATCCTCATAAACGTCATCGTTCTTTTCCAGCCGTCCTGGAAAAGAAAAAAGAAAATGTAAGTGCATGTCGAAAATACACTCGTATATGCGTAAAAACACAAGGTCGGCGGAAAAAAAATGGAAAATAAACTCATGAGCACGTAATAGCGTTAAAAAATTGTTTTTTTTTTTTTTTTTTTTAATAGAAATAAAAATATATAAGCATATTAAAATTGTTTTTTTTTAAAAAAAAATAATATAAAATGTCGAGAAGTGCCTTACGTGCAATAGTCGTTTAAATGTTCTGGAAATCTCACCCTTCTTCCAGAACGCGTCGTTTTAAGTTTATTTTCGGATACTGTCGAAGTATCTTCGTGTGTGTTGGTTGTCGGATGAGGTATTATTAGTGTCTGAGTCGTGTCGTTCGATTGTACCGAAGGAAAATCGACGTAGATAGGATTTCCTTCTAAATACGCTGCTTTTAAGCGATCGATGCTGATGCTATCGTTGGTTCCGTTCTTATCGACTATATAGTACTTAGATTCACGTTGAAGAACTTTGAAGGGTCCTTCGTATGCTGATTCGAATGGTCGTCGATGCGAGTCTCGACGAATGAAAACGTGTGTACTATATCGTAAGTCAGGTTGAACGAAAACATCAGTTGATTGAGGTCGAGTGGAAGCAGGTTTAACTGAACGCATTGCGTTTGTAAGCCTGTTCGTGTAGGAGGTTAGATCCATGTTCATCGAAGAGCACGAAGGATCCACGAATTCTCCTGGAAGTCGAAGTGTCGTTCCATAAACGAGTTGAGCCGCAGTGTATCCAATGTCAGCTTTCACTGCATTGCGGATACCTAGTAAGACGAGTGGAAGAGCGTCGGTCCATTGTGAAACGTTTCAGCTGATAGCGAAGCTTTCAGTTGTCGGTGAAAACGTTCTACCAACCCGTTTGCTTGTGGATGGTAGGCGGTCGTTCGGAAGCGAGTGATTCCTAAAAGTGTGGTCAGACGACGGAAAAGATCAGATTCAAACTGACGTCCGCGGTCTGTAGTGATGGTTGAAGGGCAACCGAAGTTTGCTACCCATCGTTCGACGAATGTGCGGGCCACTGTTTCAGCAGTGCTGTCCTTGATAGGTACTGCTTCTGGCCATCGAGTGAAACGGTCTACGCAGGTTAAGAGATAAGAGTATCCATTTGAATCTGGTAAAGGTCCTACCAAATCCAGATGAACATGGTCGAAACGAGCATCGGGAGTTTTAAACGAGCCTAAGGGACATTTATTGTGTCTGATAACCTTAGATTTTTGGCAGCTTACACAGGAGCGTGCCCACTCCCTCACGTCTTTATTCATGCCAGGCCAGCAAAATCGTTCTGCTATAAGCTTGATGGTTGCACGAACACCTGGATGAGAAAGTTTGTGCAATGTGTTGAAGACATTGCGTCGATAATGTTTCGGCACGATTGGGCGATCCCTACCTGTAGATGTGTCACAAAGTAAGGTTTCCTTACCTGTTCCCATCTGTTTGATGCGTAGTTTAAGTGTTGTGGACGATAACTCGTGCTGAAGATCACTGTCTTCTTTTTGAAGCTCGGCGAGTTTAAGAAGGTCGATTCCTTGGAAACTGTTCAAGGAAGTTATGCGAGATAAAGCGTCTGCAACTACATTGTTTGCTCCAGAGATGTGTTGAATATCTGAAGTAAACTGCGAAATGTAGTCCAGTTGTCGAGACTCACGGGGAGAGTACTTGTCAGAAGGAGAGCTTAACGAGAAAGTGAGCGGTTTATGGTCCGTGAAAAGAGTGAATTCACGGCCTTCGATATAGTGTTGGAAATGCCGTACAGCACAATACATAGCTAGGAGTTCCCTACCGAATGTGCTGTACCTCGATTCGGTGTCTAGCAACCTTCTAGAGAAAAATGCCAAGGGTTGCCAGGAGTTGTTAACCCATTGTTGTAAGACTCCTCCGATTGCTGAGTCGGATGCGTCTACTGCGATGCTAATGGGTGCTCGGGTGTCCTGATGTGCGAGCATTGTTGCTTTAGCAATCAGTTCCTTAACTGTGGAGAATGCTTTTCGTGCGGTGTCGTCCAAATTAATGGATTTCGCATTTCCACGAAGTTGGTCGGTCAGAGGTTTCATAAGTGATGCGCATTTGGGTATGAAACGTCTATAGAAACTTACCAGGCCGTTGAACGTGCGTAATTGCTTGACGGTGGTCGGTTCTGGGTAATCCAGAATGGCCGCCACTTTGGTTCTAAGGGGTCGGATACCTTGAGCATCGATAGTGTGTCCCAGAAAGTCTAACGAGTCGGTTCCAAATTGGCATTTCTGAACGTTTACAGTTATGCCATGTTTTTGTAATCGTTCGAAAACAAGGTCCAGATGCTTGAGATGTGTTTCTCTGTCCGGACTTGCGATTAGACAGTCGTCAACATACGCGTGTACGAAGTTGAGACCTCGAAAAACGTCGTCTATGAATCTTTGGAATGTTTGAGCAGCATTCCTTAGACCGAAAGGCATTCGCAAAAATTCATAGAGTCCGAAGGGAGTTATGATAGCCGTTTTCGGTATGTCGTCAGTAGCCATAGGGATTTGGTTATACGCTTTAACCAAGTCGATTTTCGAAAAGACAGTTGTACCTTTCAAGGTAGCTGTCAAATCGTGAATGTGAGGCAACGGGTAACGATCGGGAATGGTTTTCGCGTTCAATCGCCGATAGTCACCAGTTGGACGCCAATCGTTGCTGTCCTTTTTAGGGACCATGTGCAACGGAGATGCATATGGGCTACTTGACGGTCGTATGATTCCTAAGTCCATCATGTGATCGAATTCGTTTTTCGCTAACCTTAGCTTTTCAGGAGCTAGTCGTCGTGCTTTAGAGAATACAGGTGGTCCTGTAGTCGTGATGTGATGTGTAACATTGCTGGTTACACACGGTAGTTTCGGTTGAGTTTGTTGTATCCCAGGGTACTTATCGAGTAGTGGTTGATAGAGTGGGTCTATCATATGTTTAACTGTGACTGGGGATACTCTACAACCAGTAAAAGAAGTTACGCAAACGGACAAATTAGTGTTTCCGTCTACTAGCCTCCGTTTGCGAGTGTCGATGATCAGATTGTGGTGTTGTAGAAGGTCCATACCAATGATTGGCATAGAAACATCTGCAACGACGAAAATCCAGTGGATGGGTTTGCGTAAACCCACGTTAAGGTAAACGTACCTTTTGCCATACGTAGCGATCGGTTTTCCGTTTGCCGCCTGTAAGTTTAGGGTCGATTCGTGAAGTCGGTCGTTAGGATTTGCTGGGAGAACGCTAACTTCTGCGCCAGTGTCGACGAGGTAGCGAACTCTCGTTGTCACATCTGTGACGAATAACAGACGGCTTTGTTCGCCGGCTACGGTTGCCGTTAACGCGTGCCGGCTTGGAAGTTTCCCGAATTGTTTTTCGAATCAGTCGGTTTCGTGTTGGGAAAATTGCAGGGTTTTCTGCAATTTCTGGAAAACTTTCCATACTGGTTATGATACCAGCACCAGTCGGGGTTATCTGTCTCTCGTGGTCTAGAGACAGATCGCTTACGAGAAATGCTTCTACGTGGTGTGCGCGATCTCTTACGGTCGGTACGAAGACTAAGATAACGCGTGAGTGTGTGACATAAGTCGGTTATGTCATTCTGAGTCGTGTGAGGCTTTTCTTTGACTGAAAATACCTCGGTAGTAGGTTTCGTAATTTCTAGAATGCGGTCGGCAGATGCAGCTAGCTCGTCTAAGGCGTTGTTCTGGAACGAGACCAGAACTGCTTGCACCTGTTGGGGAAGTTTTGACAAGAAGAGTTGTTTGAATAGACCTTCGTCGAAAGTTCTTGGGCCTATAACCTCTCTCATCCGTTGCAACATGTCCGTCGCAGAACCGTGTTGCAGGTCGATATTGTTGAAGAGTTGATCTAACCTTTGTCGATCGGTTAGGTCTCCTCGTTTAAGAATCGAGCGTTTTAAGATTTCGTAAGGATCGGAAACATCACTAGTAAACATACTAGGTGTTACGTACCTGTTGAATTCGCGCGGTAGTGCCTTGACTACTGCGAGGAATTGTGCACGTGTGTCGATCACGCCGTGCTCGGAGAAGTCGGCTTCTGCGTAGCAAAACCAGGCTTCGATGTTGTCGGGCCAGAAAGGCATCAGTTGAAACGAAGGTGGGGACAAGGTCTTAAGCTTGAGTACTTTAGGTGTCTGTTCAGTCATGATGAAATATGAAGTACGATAATGAACGAGGGGAAAATATATATATATCCAAGAAAAACACGAAAAAAATCACAATGTTTAAAAAAATAAAAAATAAGGCAATGATATATAAAAATCCCAAAAAGGAACAGACTCACAGTTGCAATAAGGTGTACCAGATCACGACGGTCTCACCAATGATGATGTCACAGGTATTCAGTGTTTCACAACGCTTCTACCAGTAACACCTTCTAATATGCCTGACCGAGCGCCTTCAGCTAGATGAGTCCAATAAAACATATGGTCAGCATCCAATGTCGAAAACTTACAGAGCTATTTATTTTGGGGATTTATTTACCGCTACAACCTAATCCAGTTCAATAACTACGGTGAAAAAATCAGTGAAACTGAGCGTCATTAGACCGCGTAATATATAATTCAGGATTTGGTCGAATGAAAGATTTGTTAGTTTTTTATAGTGAAAAGTGATCGTTACTCATTCTCTAGTGTATTGTCTATTGAAAGAATTTATTGAGCGCCGAAAACTACAAAAGCGGTACTGTGGTGGTGTGTTTCGCACCTCACAGTTCTTCAGCTCGATGTGGCACTAGACTAATTCGCTTTTAATATTTGTATATCCCATAGAAGAGCTGTTCGAAGTTGTGGGTGCGGTTAAGTTAGTGTTGTCATGAATGCTTGTCGGAAGAAGGGTCGTTTATCCTTCTTCATACGAGCTGAAATCGAACCGAAAAATCGTTCAGGCGTAAACTCGCTGCAGTATGATCCGTGTACAGACACACTGTTTACTGCTGGGCGGGATTCCATTATCAGGGTTTGGAACACTAAAAGGCAATCGGTATGCTTTGCAATTCTGTAATATAATAATTTTACCATATTTTTGGTATAATTTAGGATCCTCTTGTGCATACCATGGAACATCATGCTGACTGGGTTACAGACATTGTACTATGTTGTGGTGGCAAAAATCGTACGTTACAAGCCTTTGTTTCTATTTGTACGTAAATCTGTGATATTTGTGTAGTCACTATAGTGAGACTATAACTTCTGGAAACGATTGAGTGACGTTAAAGTGGCCTTGAGAATGTTCGTTTACTTGCTAGAGCTATGCGAGTGTTACAAACCTATGTGGAGAATAAGGATCATGATTTACAGTTGATGGTTAAGATTAGGAGTTCAATTTAAAGTTTTCACCACTAACCGACATAAGCTAAAATCTCAAAATGCCCTTTAACCGGATGGACGAATGAATTTCGCTCCAAAATCCAAGACTTGTTGTCCTAAACTTGATTGGTTCATCCATAAATTATAGTCTCATCGATATTCCTGAGTGTTCATTTAGTATATCCATTATGTACAAGAAGTCCTAGTGGTGTTTATTTCGCAACTCTCCTGTCAACGTTTGTCGTTTATTTTATTACGGAAATTGTTTTTGCTTACTTATTGAGGCATGTTCAGATTCTTGCTCGTGGAGATGATATACAGGTGTTTTACTTTATTTTTGTTCAAGCTGACCGATCTCTGGTTGTACACGTATGAAACCTCGTCTGCATGATAATCTTTACTAAAACTAGACCTGCGTTTCTCGCCCTTCAAATCGACTTATAATTAGTCTGTCCATAAACCAACATATTAATAGGACTGACCTTGGTCATGTTCACAATAATCACATTTTTCCACCAAACGAAATACCCACTAACATATGTGGCTCGTCTACAATTCATGAACAGACCAATCATGTTTAAGATAGCAGGTCTTGAATTTCGACCCAAAAATTCATCAACATGTATGGCTAAATAGCATTTAACCATTAAAGCTTATGTCAGTTCGTGACGTAAACCCTAAATCTGATGGCGTACATTAATACATAACTAATTTAACCCTACTAAGGAGGTGGACACTTTCCATGTCACTTTGGCGTCTCCCAAAGGTCGTCCATAAATCAGTCTCACTGTACAAGTCTCGATGCAAAGACTAACCAGCAATTCAAATTGTGAGTGAATAAGTGCTGATTTGGGATGTAAAAGGAAAAAACCTGACGTATAATCTATAATAGTATGTTAATGATAGTGATAACCCAGAACATGCCAGTATATGGAGTTCTTCAGTACGTTCTACACGGGAGTTTATTATTTTATTTATTTATTTATTTCAACACAGTTATTGGTACAAGGGGACACCAGATATATATGCGCCTCACAGGCATCAGATATATATGCACGAGAGTGTTAGACAACCCAGTCCCGTAGTTATTGTTTATCGTATCAGATTAGTTTCAAACTTTCATTCATTTCTTATATTCTACAAATCGTTCTTTATGATTCGTTCAAACATTAGTCCTTATAACAGTTGTTTGTAGTACACTGACTAGAAATTTCGCAACAAAAGGTAAATCTACATTATATGGTTAGTTGAGCTTATTGAAATAGATGTTATGCGCTTTACTGGTTGTGCAGTGTATTGTTTGTAGTCTTTACAGAAGCACTGTCTTGTCCTAAAATCTTTGAAAATCCCGTTTCCTGTATAAGAAAGTCTTCTTCGACGTTCATTAAATGTTTTGCGAACTCAGCGATTCTAATTTAAACAGGTTGCCTTGATTTGCTTTCCAACTTTAAGAGTGGCACTGCTAATGAAAGAGTTTTTTCAGCTCTTACTAAGCTGTAGTTCGTTACTGTAACATTTTTTCCCAATAATATTTACATCTTATCCACATAGTCGTTTGTATTGGCTTGTTTCAGAGCAGCTTTTTAGTATACGTAATAGGTTGCCTTAACTAACTTAGACTTTACAAGGTATATATAGTTGGAGAACAAAGTTTTTCGAGTTACTTTCGAAATTTGTTTTACTGAAATCTATGGACTATTTTCTCTGATGATATCCCTTAGTTTTTTTCATTCTCTGTGGAGATCAACTAGTGCTACTCAAAGCTGAACAGAAGTATTAATTTAATTTTCATAGTAGTCGACTTTTAGTTACTAAGTGTCAAGTTCGAATCACACTTCATCTACTTTAGTTTACGCCTGCCGGATAGTGTCACACAAAAAATTGCTGAAAACCTAATATATCAACGTAAATCTACTTGTCTGATAATGTGATCCTTACGGTATCATTGAATTCGTTGATGAGCTTTGAGTAAGTGGTAAGATATTTCGGCTTCAAGGTTCATACAGTTATTTCTCCGATTTTTTCCTTTTTATCTCCTATCATCTTTGTTTGTCCCCGTACTACAGTTTTTGAATAGACGAGTTCTTCCACTACACATAATATTATGATTATAATTCTGACACTAAGTCAAATAAAGGTAATAACTTAAATGAAACCCTTTATATGCTTTTCATCTGTCTCGAATTAACAAAATGCTTTTGTATGCATACTTATCCGGATCATTTGTTTATTTTTAGTCATATCTGCCTCAAATGATACGACAGTGAAGGTTTGGAATGCTACAAAAGGATTTTGTATGTCTACTCTGGGTACACACAAAGACTATGTTCGAGTGCTTGCCTACGCCCAACATCGTGAGGAAGTTGCTAGTGCTGGTCTAGATGGCGCAATATTTTTGTGGGATATAAGAACACTTACAGCACTTACACCAACTAATAATACAGTTGAAAGTAAGTATCACAACATACATCATGCCGCTACGTCATACTTCGATTGAAACTTGTTAAACTTTAAGACTGTTATGCCTTACTAGTCGTAAACTAATGGCTAGTATTAATAACAATCAGTATTACTTTTCTCTTCACTAGTGGAGTGAATAAAAAACTACGTGGAAGTTTGTTTATTGGCCATAATATGAATTAGATATTTCATGATAATCTGCTAGTGAATAGTTTGTCCAAAAGTTAGCATCATTCACTTAAGCATGGAAAAGTACTAACTACTGCAAGTAATACTCTGTCATTATTGCTAAGCTGTGAGAAGAATAGCTTAGGATCTGGTTGCTATCGACGTTTCTTAAACGTAAATTACCCATTTAGTATACTATGGTGCTTCCTTAGTTGTTTCAATTCACATTCCAATCCAACCCTAAACTTCAGTTTTATTCATACTTTTTCGCTAAATGCTTAAGTAGTATTCCCCCTTGTATTGACGCACTATTTCAAGTCCTATTTTCAGATGCCGAAAACAATTATTATCTATAGTTTAATTATGCTTTTGATCATTTTAGCATATACATCTCTGTAATTTGTCTTTCACCGTGAAGAAGAGTGACTGAGTTAAATCGTATCAACCTCATTTAATTTTCTTATAAAATGGGCATTTTTGTTTGTTTGTAACGACGCACCTTGGATTTATTCCGGTTTTTAAATTTTCGTGTACAATCCACTTCCTTGTTCCTATCATTTTGCTCCCAGTAACCTTCTAATTTCAAATTTATATATTTACTAACCCGACTTTTCTAGTAGATAATTACTCCCAAAAGTTTTCACAAAGGGTAGACTGACTGCTAGTGTCTCTGGTTCACTTAGCTTAATCCGTCTGTCTTCTAACAGTTTTTTTTCTGAGTTTTGCATCTAACTGACAAAACCTTTTGGCTTGGAGTCCAACTTATACACGAGTATTTGCAGATTACTTCCTGTTTGAAAGTGCGTTTTTTCACATTGCTGTCTCCTCTTCCTATATTTTTCACGTCTGTTTTATTTAAGCTCGTCCACTGACAACAAATGATGAAAGTACATATAGCTTAGCTATGAATCCATCTGGGACAGTCATTGTAGCTGGTGGTCCTTATAAAAGAATATGGGTATGGGATCCTAGATCACGTAGTAAACCTTTCGACTTACGAAGTCATACTGATAGTATACGTGCACTTGCTGTTCGACCAAATGGTGAAGAGGTAAGTTATAACTTCTCATGTCACTAGTTTCTAAAAAAACTGATCGTTTATTTTAATGTATACTAGGCACTGAGATGTTTTGATAGTCTAATTATCTGCAATAGTTTTAATGTATAAAACTGTTTAATTATTTGTTCGTGATCATTAACGTTAAGTAAAACTTTAACTGTGAAGATAAAATCTAATCCTGTGTATGAGGGAAGAAAAGGCACTTTTAGAATGGATCCCTGTTAACAGTCGCCCATGTACTGTTTGGCGAAACGGCCCCGTAAGAACTCGTAAGGATAGGGACATGCGTCGTCGCCTTTTCGTCATTTCTGCCTACGCTCCCACTGACTGCACCCCGAATAAAGTGAAAGATGAATTTTACAGAAAGCTTTCTAAACTTCTTCAAAAAGTCAAACACTCATAGTACTCATAGTAGGTGACTCTAATGCCCAAATAGGTTGATTAAACCAGAAAGACATTTAGTTGGGTATTTTAGTATTCCGGCTCAGCGAATACACAACGGTGATCGTCTGCTTCAAATGTGCTCAGTCTCATCATAGACCTACTTCTGGAAATAACGTTCTCGTCGACTGAATTTTCAGAAATTGATCTCCTACCAGTAGGTCCACTTATTAACGTAGAATACTCAGATGACAGTCCTGTTTGGTGAAGACGCTAATAAAATACTGAGTCTTTTGGTAGCATCGAGCCATAATGCCATGATGTTTGGGATGCGTTCCTCCCCCTTTAAGTGCAAATTGCTGCTTCAGGACTACCCTGGGTTAAATAAGGACAGAGAGTGAAGTAGTCGAACGCGTCGACAGCCTCACTTATCCTGGAATTCTGATCAGCCCTAATGGGTTGGTGTCTGACGAAAGCCCTACACGGATTCAAAAAGCTCATCTGGCTTTTGCCAACTTACGTTGTAATGAACGAGAACACGAGTGGGGACAACCAAATGCATTTGAATACAAAATTACAGAACGTCAGTAAAATCTGAGAACCATACAGTAAATACTTCATTTGCAAAATGTCAATCAATCGTCTCAAACTTCACTGTTCCTTCATTTCCACACCAATCATTCTCTTTTCTTCGATCTTCTTAGCCTTCTGCCACCAGGCATTTCACTTTGTATTAGTGATACATACTACTTATATCTGTCGACATCAGTCGCGCACACCACAACGTCACCTATGACGAAGGTGAGATGTTCATCTGTCAATTAAAGGACGGGTATACTACGCAGCAGTTCATTCGTTTTTCTTTACGGACCAACCACTTATTACTGTGATATCTCCCAGACTTTAACAAAAATGTTTATGTTTGTTTCCCATTATTAAAATCATGCTTAACTTCACATGATAATTGTTCGCGAGTGGTGTCACTCTGATCAAACTTTCTTATATTCATTCAGATTATTAGTGGTAGTTCTGATGGAACAATTAAAATATGGTCACTTGGTATGCAACGATGTACAGATACCATTCGCACACACAGTGAAAGTGTATTCACATTACAGGTAGGTAATTGGATTACTCTTCTCTAAGTTTGTCGATGATTCGCACTCGTTTCTTGACTTTTTTTTCAATTATTTTATCGTGATTTATTTCTTACGATTTCTTAGCAATTGTAGTAGCATATTAGAATATTCATTTAAATAGCGACATATTACTATAGAATGCTTTTATTGCTATAAAGAAGAATTAAAGTCAAGTTATCGTATTGGTGTCACCTTTGATAACTTTAATTCCACATTTTTTATTGATGCAATAGTTTGAGTCATTACATTTCTTCCAGCTAACACCACATATTAAGTTTCTTGTTGCGTCACTTAGCGTATTGATGACTACTACTGTAGTGGACACTACTCACAAGGATGTTTGTAAGTTGTGTATAGTGAAATGTGGTATTGAAGTTGCAACAATTGTCGGACAAAGTGAAGAGTTTCAATGCATCAGAAGCACAGCGTTTATTATTTATTATTTATTTATTTGGACACATGAATATTGGTACAAGAGAGCACCAATATATATGCGCCACACAAAACAATGAAAATTCGAGAGGAATACAAAGAAAGAAAGAAAAAAAAAGCTAAGGAGCGCAACAAAAAAAGAGAGAACAATAACGAAGAGATTGGTGTAAGGTAATGTGCTAGTAATCAGGGAACGCAAAGGTACAATCGGAAGAAATCTTTCAGGTAAGGGAGACAGAACCACTTTTTATGAAGAAAGTAAAAGAAGGTTACAGCAGGATCGCCACTGGCTTCTATTCTGAGCCATATCTGATAACGTCTCTAGCCACTGTGTAGCACCATCTCTCAGACCCCAACCAGGGAGTCGTGAAGGACCAACACAAGCCAGTCCTTTGCAGCTTTCTTTCATGCCACGACACCATGTCATGCACTGACCACCTCTCCGCTTCTTCCAACCAGTCCCAGAGTCGGCAAATAATGCACGACGTGGAATTCTCTGGGACGACATTCGGAGAACATGTCCAAGCCACCGAAGTCGGTGTTTCAAGATGGTGACACCAATTGAATTATCATCTCTGTGCCCGAACACACGATGCCGAACCTCTGCATTACTGACATGGTGTTGCCACTGAATGTCAGCAATCCTTCGGAGACAGCGATGATCGAACACAGAGAGTCGTCTAACGTCCTCAACTCGGAGAGGCCAGGTTTCACAAGCATAGAGCAAAACTGCTCTCACCGACGCGTTGTAGATCCGACCTTTTACAGCCAGACTAACATCACGAAGGCGCCAAAGATGGCCCAGATTGGCATAAGCCGCTCTGGCTTTCACTATACGTGCATTGATCTCATCACTCACACCCCCACCAGCACTTATGCAGCTACCCAGATACACGAACTTCTCGACTACGTCTATCTGCTCACCATCCAGGGTGAGTACAGGATTGGAATCCTGCCAGTCTTGTAGAAGTACTTTGCACTTCGAAGGTGCAAAGCACATACCATACCTACGGACACTGATTGCCAACTGATTAAGTGCGGATTGCATGCCTTGGGCATTATCGCACAGTAAGACAATATCGTCCGCATACTCAAGGTCGAGAAGTCTTTCTCCAGGCAACAGATCCACACCACCATTACTTACATTCATCAGAGCTGTTTCCAGAATGTCATCGATGGCAAAGTTGAAGAGGAATGGTGAGATTGGGCAACCCTGCCTAACCCCACTGCTCGAATGGAACAATGGAGAGAGGTGGTTGTATGCCCTCACTCTGCCTGAGGTGTTTTTATATAGGGCTTTTAGGATGTTAATAAACTTCTCAGGCACACCCTTCTTCAATAGACAATCCCAGAGAACAGTCCTGTCCAACGAATCGAAGGCAGCCCTGATGTCAAGAAACACTACGATTGTTGGCCTTTGATAAGTATGGCGGTGTTCTAACATTTGGCGGAGGGTGAAGATATGATCAATACATCCTCGACCAGAACGAAACCCAGCCTGCTCCTCGCGAGTCAATCTTTCTCGGGTTTTGAACAACCTACGAAGTATGACGGAAGCCAATAGCTTGGACGCAATCGGAAGTAGACTTATCCCCCGATAGTTGTTACAAGAACGACGTGAACCCTTTTTAAAGATAGGGACAACTATCGACTCATTCCATGACGTTGGTACACTCTCTAGTTCCCAAACCTTTGTAAACAACGTCGTCAATTCCTTAGTCAAAAAGTCACCACCATCTTTAAAAAGAGCCGGAGGTAAGTCATCTGGGCCAGGTGATTTGTAACGCTTCAAGAGTTGGAGTTCCTTGCGGACTTCCTCCTCGTTTGGTGGATCAGTCGTCACCGGCCATGGAGGGCAGGACAGTCTGACCGATGTTGCCGGAGCAGCAGGCCAGTTGAACTGCCCTTCGAAAAATTCTGCCCATCGTCCAAGACGTCGATGGATGTTAGTGATTGGCATCCCATCATCCTCGCAGATTGTTTCACTCACACCAGACTTCTTGCTGCCAGTGGCTCGGATGAGCTGGAAGAGCTTCCGGTAGTTACCAGATGCAGCTGCTGCTTCCAGCTCATTAGCACGCATCGACCACCAGGCTTCTCGGTCCTTACGCAAGCTTTGCCCAATTTCCTTACGTAACATCCTTCGTTTATGGTCAAACTCACGGTCACCCGGAGTAGACCGACGGGCTTCAATGAGTTGTAAGGAACCAGAAGAAACCCAGTGCTTATAAGCGGGACGTTTCGCAAACCCACAACTGACTGTTCCCGCCATTTTCATGGCGTCATGCAATTGCAACCAATGCTCATCTATACTTTTCGGTGGAGTGGTAGCTAGCCTAGAGGCTAGCTCGGTTCGATACTTACTTGCAACAGAAGTTGCAACCAGCTTGCTAACATCAATCCGTTGGTGGTGGTCACTTCGTTGTCCACTGAAAAGTAAGGCAAGATTGGCGCAGACCAAGGCATGGTCAGAGTCCAGATAGGTACTCCAAAAGGAGCGGCAGTCTTTTACACAACCACGCCAGCGGTAGCTGATCGCGATGTGATCAATCTGAGTCCAGGCTTGAGATGCAGAGGGAGGACGCCAGGTGGCACATCGGCGATGACTGTGCCGAAAGTTAGTGCTAGCCAGAAACAGGTTGTGGTCTGTGCAAAGTTGCAGTAGACGGTCCCCGTTATCTGACCTGCGACCAACGAGTCCCCATCGGCCACCTAAACGACTCTCTTCTGTGCCTAGACGCCCGACCTGAGCATTCAAGTCTCCGGCTAGTACTACAATATCTGTCGAACGCACTTTCTGGAGAAGAACAGATAACTGGTGGTAAAACTCATCCTTGATTGCATCCGGGCTGCAATCTGTCGGGGCATAGGCGGAGATGACGAAAAGACATCGTTTCTCACGCCGATTTCTTCTCACTTTGATGGAACTTTCTAATCTAACAGCACATAACCGACTGTTAATGGGGATCCAATCGACTAGTGCTGCCTCAGCTCTAGCGCTTAGTGCGACACCAACGCCAGCAAGACCAGACGAAGATGCCACAGGGTCCCCGGATAAGCGCACGTAAAACAAGCTTTTCGAAGCGACAGATGGAGATCGAATTTGTAGTACTTCGCCAGAGTCTTGAATACGGGTCTCGGATAGACAACAAACATCGATATTAAGACTTTCCAAAGACATAGCCAGCCCTATCTGTTGTCCGACCTGCATAAATGTGCGAACGTTGAAGGCAGCCAGTTTGAATGGTGCACGTGGTTTCAGAAAAACTGCTTCAGTCCTCGTATTCGGTGGTAACATACAATTTTCAACCGGACAGTGACTCGAGAACGTTTAGATACAGTCGAATTTCCACCAAAGACGAGCCGCTGTATAAGTATAAAAGAGGGTGAATAATGTGGAAAATAATAATAATAATAATAATAATAATAATAATAATGACAATAGTAGTAATAATAATAATAGTATTAATAATGACAATAATTGTAATGATAATAATTTGAATCAATTGATTGTTTTTCAAAGCGAGAAAAGTAATTTCCATAGACATAAAGAGTTCATCATTTGTGTGTGGGCTGTGATACTGCCCGGGTGCCCAAACCGAAGCAGGTGGTTATCTTAGGGGGCCACTCCCCGAGCCTTTGACCTAAAGGTCTAACCCACAAGGCAGTGGAGCATCGTAAGGAGATGCAGTCCCATGGTAGCCGGTGACCAACGATTGGTTCATACGCCATTTGTTCCCGCAGGATACTGGAGCCCATGTGCACCATTGGTTTGGAATCCGGTTAAAGCGCCGGACATTCGCTTTTCGTCCTCTCATTTTCGTAAACAACACCCCCGCCACGAGAAGGCAATGAGTAGGACTTCCCTGGCAGAGGCTGTATACGCGTGGCCGTGTGAGAGTATTTCGAGAGGGAGAGCGGACTCACCCCACTCTCGGCCGTACCAGGGCATTCGGGGGCAAGCACAGCGTTAGCCGAACACTTGGAGGCCACTGTTGAAGACAGTTCAGATTACAGAACACCGGGTAGTGCAAATGAACGATTGAAGGCTATGTGTACCTATTATGTAAATACTTTGTAACCCCTTGCAATAAATACACATTCCTCCTGCCTATTAATGTGTTTTACTCTATTACTACAATTCTTCATGAGTGGCAGACATCAATATTGACGTTGATTTTGTATCATGGTAGTTGTACATTGTCACCTATTTTCTAATAGACTCGGTTGTTAAATATATCGTTAATTGTAGGTATTTGTACAACTATTACAAATGCCGGATAATCGGCAACTAAATGATCTGTGTGGTGGACTTATAAGCATCGAATTGTATCGATTTTGAACTCCATTCCACCTTTTTCGATCTTAGAATTTGGATGCATGAATTTGTACTAGATTATTGGATTGTATTGAAGTTTAAAATTTATCGAAGAAACCAATTGACCTGGTTTTGCCTTTTATAACCCACTTAGTCTCTTGCTGTTTGCTTACAGTTTTTTTGATAGTGATATTATTCAATAAGGTTGTGAACTCATTTAGATCTTTTTGTCTATATTTAAGTAGTAAATGGTTTTATCTTTCACAATGAGACTGGTAAGATAAGTTTCGCCCAAAGGTTGCAAGTAAAACCCACTAAAGAAATCGATGAACATTTTAACGCTCATATTTTTTCTTATCCTTACTATCTGAAACTAAATATATACCATCACTATGTTGAACCGTTTATTTTATTGTTTAAAATACATAACTTTCAATTGTTAGGTTAAAATTGATCTTAAGTACTGTTAGCAGTGTGAGGGGAGTTACCAGTTCCCTGTTATTTACACCGTGGAAGACCACCTCTTCATAAGGTAGGCAACTGACAAGGAGTTGATGATGGTCCTTATGATCTGGGAGTGTGGCTACAAAGTTCAAAGGAAAACTGGTTGATGGCGGTCACATAAGGTGTTTTTTCAGTAGTTTTAAATGTGTCAGATCCGTACTTTTAAGGCCTTACCGCCCCCAACGAAGATTCCTGGGCCCTGCATAACAACGTATGAATTAAATGAATGAACATTCTGACAAACATAGTTTGATTATGCCACCACGTTATGTATGTCCGACCATGACGTCAAGTTAGCACTTGCGGTCGAGAATTAGCAGATCTGAGTTAGTCCCATGAACTAATCGTTAGCATCACTTGAAACTGAATGAAAGTCGTGCATTTGGCTCCATATTTATTTAGACCACTTCTGTTATTTCAGTATTTCGCTAGTCAATTATACTCAAGCCAATATATTAATAAATTGTCGGCAAATACACATTAAAATGCCAAAGATTTATCCTATTCATGTTTTTAAAGTTTGATAACTGTATAAAATGTTTGTTAAATATCTTGGTAGAACATACCTTAGTTTTTTGCAACCATATGACTTTAAAATCGATGAGTCTCATACTAAAATGAAACATCTTTCCAGTGGTTCCTGGTTGTCAATATTTGTCTGAGATCCCTCACCGATTTCAAATAATAAATCTGTGAACGTTAATTGATTGTGCTTTTTGCTTGGAAATTTAATATGATAGGTTCTTTTACATAATCGGTATGACTTAAAATTTCATTCGGTATGTATTGTGTTTAAAAACAACTGTTCTGAGTATTTGATAGCATTAATTTATTGATTCTAGGTGAATAACAATTGGTCAACTGTTTATTCCGCTGGTAAAGATCGTAAGATTTGGGCTACTGATTTGCATAATCCTGGTAATCTACATTAATTGGCGAAGAGACGGATCCAGTCTTAAAGGTATTTGTTCTAAACATCGAAATATTTTTTTTTGTAAAATATCCATATTTCAGTTAGACAACTTCATGTTTCAATCAACTCATTATTTATTATAAAGAAAAGAAAATGATGTTTTGTATAGTGAACAAAATCATAGTACTCTTCATCATATTAACTATGGTAGATCAGTATCGTTGTAAACAATACTACGCCTTTTGTTACTGGATATAAATTGTTTGGGTTTTTTGAATGATTATATAACTCATCACCTTCAAAATTTGTCATATATAACTCGAAATTGAAGTGATTATTGTCAGGTTGCCGGAAAATTATCCAGTAGTCAGGAGACATATCGAAAATATTTCGACTCGCCAGCATTCTCTAGAAAGAACAAATGTTTATGGTTTTCTAACTGAAGAGTTGTCAACATCATTACCAAATTTAGATTTATTTATTTTAACACATAGGTATTGCTACAAGGAGGCACCAAATACATATGCGCCACACAAATCTCACTTGATATGTGTGAGGACTGTGATACTGCACGGGTGCCCAGGCCGAAGCAAGTGGTTTTCTTAGGGAGCCACACACGGAGCCTTCGACCCGAAGGTTTAATCCACAAAGCAGTGGAGCAACATAAGGAGATGCAGTCCCATGGTAGCTAGTGAACAATAACTGGTTCATACGCCATTTGTTCTTTCAGGATACTGGAGCCCATGTACACCACTGGTTTGGAATCAGGGTTTTCCAACTCCCCTAGGTGGACTCTCCGTATCCACCAACCCTGTTAAAGCACCGGACATTCGCTTTTCGTCCTCTCAATTTCATAAACAACACCCCCGCCAGGAGAAGACAGTGAGTAGGACTTCCCTGACAGAGGCTATATACGCATGGCCATGTGAGAGCATTTGGGGGCAAATTTAGATTGTGTTTTCCCAAAGCAAGAACATCAAAGTCCCATGAACTTCTATAATTAAGTTAGTCAATAATGATTAACTCTGGAAAAAATAAACCTGATAAATGGAATAGAACATATGTTTTTGGTTATTATGGAATATTAGTCATCTACGATTTTTACATATGGATTGATTTTCGGCTTTCGTCATAAAACTTGATTTTCTAGGCTTCTCAATTGTAATTAGATTTAAACCACGTCTAAATAAAATTACAGTTTATAAATAGTCCATCACTTTTGTGTCTGTAAATTTTTTGCATAATTTGTTTTTAAGAAGAAAAATAAATTAAAGTATTCAGACTGTGAATAATTATGATGAATCCAAATATATCAATTGTGTTCAACTTGTTGTTAGCGGAATGTCGATTGGATTAAAACACGTTCCGTCTAGGATTATGTTGGGTCGCGGTGATTGGCTATTCATTAACCAATCAACGTTAGCGGATACTTAGAGAATACTCTAGAATATTCTCATGTAAAAACTATAAATATACTAACGTTTTCCCTGTTGTGCTTCTTACTTCTATCTACCCTTGTTATTTGAAATATAATTTCGTTCCTGTTCAACTGTGTTCTAATTTGGGAACTTGTCGAGTGAATCGGTGTCCAAGAATATTAGGTAATAGGACTGGCTGGGTCATAATAGGAGAAATTATAACAGTTGTTCATGGTAGCTTTCCATCACTTATTAGTTTGAAACTGCTCACTTTTAATGTAATAAATCCATTTCATTGAAAAGAACAATGCAACTATCAAATCAAGCGTTTTCCCTTCAACTTACGACGTTGTTGTCAACTTCTAACTAAATTACAAAGAGAAGTTTCACGTCATTTTTAACCAGATTGCATGTGTATATCTGAATACAATCGTCCTACGTTTTTTCACTGATGTTTTTTTAAGTTCTACAGAAATTGACAAATTAACTTATCTCGATTAGCGGTGTTTTAAATAATAAAAAGAAAAACAGTTCATAATTTTAGTTTTTTTGATCTTTCCATTGACATTTTAGAACTGCAATTAGTTAGTCTCTTTTAGCATATGTGCATCCTGTGCGGGATATCTCAATTTTGGCATAAATCACAATCATTTAAAGTAGAGATGGATGGCGGTCAGCACTGAGATTCAGAGCTTGTCAGCTGAACGTACTTGCAGGTACAACTCTGGGATGTAAGTACATCCAACTGACGAGTCCTAAATAGGACAAAATGTGCGTCCTATATTCTACTACTAGCTACTATCCATCTGTGCTTCCTAAAACAATTCATATTTTATCTTATCGTACATTTTTATATATTGCCTTGTCACTAGAGATTTCTTTATGGTTTATATCAAATTACCATTATATATACATGATTCGGTTTGGGCATCTAGCACTATGGGATTTGAGTCGACCACTGCATCTCTGTGCTAATGTGGTGTGGCAACTCGAACTGATGTACATACGTACGAAGTTCTACGTTGTTACTGACTGATTGACTGGTTTGGGCATCCGGGCAGTATCACAGCCCTCATACAAATCAAATGAGATTTGTGTGGCGCATATATATTTGGTGCCTCCTTGTACCAATATCTATGTGTTAAAATAAATAAATACATGAATTATTTATTCTTGACTTGTAAAACTAACTAAATTCGTACACATTTTTTTCTCAAGTAAATGTTATGACATTTAAATATGTTTAACAAGTTTCCATGTTTCTAAAAAAATTTCTAGCTCCTATTACATGAAGGTAGAAGTCAGTCATTTTTATGGTCTGCAACATGTAATACAAATGTGTCACGTTGGGTAAGTTTAATAATAATAATAATAATAATAATAATAATAATAATAATAATAATAATAATAATAATAGTTCTATTGAATTTGAATTGGTTTTATTAACCAATATTATTCATAAACTAAGTGATTTATTTATTCATGTGAATAGTTTGTTTAATCTTAATAATAAAATAGTTAAGTTTCGCTAACTTGCATCACTTGTGGCGTAGGCGAGATATCTCTCTGCCAACTAGGGGACAACTATACTGTACAATAGTTCGTTCTGTCTTATTTTGTGATTGTGAAACGTTGTCACTATAAAATAGAAGGTATTTGTGAGCTACTAGTATTTTATCATCGATGTATTCTAAACACTATCCACAGTTTATTTCAGGACCATTGAATGCATAAACTTAATGTTAGATGTAGGGTACTAGTGTTATGAACGAGAACATAAGTGTGGAACAACCAATCTATTTGAATACCAAATTACAGAATCTCTTGGTTAAATCTGAGAACCATACAGTAAATACATCATTTGCGAAATGGCCATCAATTGTCTCAGACATTATTCCTTCTTTTCCATATCAATCACTCTTTGTTCCCGTTCTCTTCTAATTGATCTTCTCAACCTTCTGCTGCCAGGCATCCCATTTCTGATTGGCTCCCAAATACCCTCGTACTGCCGGGAGTGAATAGAGTCAACCCTCTCTTTCGAACTGCTCTCACGTGGCCACGTGCATAAAACCACTGTCAAGGATGTTCTACTCACTGCCTTCTCATGGTAGGGGTATTGTTTACGAAATTGAGTAGAAGAAAAGTGAATGTCTGGAGCTTTAACCGGGTTGTTGGATATGGAAGATTTACCTAGGGGAGTTGGAAAACCGTCATTCCAAACCAATGGTACACATTGACTCCAGGATCCTAAAGGAACAAATGGCGTACGAACCCATTGTGAGTCACCGGCTACCATGGGACTGCATTTCTTAAATTTGCTCCACTACCTCGTGGATTAGACCTATAGGTCACGTGCTTCGGTTCGGGCACCTGGGTAGTATCCCAGCCCTCACACAAATCGGATGATTTATGTGGCGCATATCTATTTGGTGCCTTCTTGTACCAATGTTTATGTGTTTAAATCAAATCATAATAATAGATTTCTGACTGGCGTTACATACTATTTATACCTGTCGACATCAGTAGCACACATTACGCTGGACGAAGATGGAACATACGTCAATAGGTTGGTAAATCTTTATCAACTGGAATTTTCGAAATATATATTATGTGTGGCCAACCACCTCGTACCTGGACACTGCGTTTGTCCCTTTCGGATCCTGAATGTCATTCCTACATTTACTTGTACTTTTATGAGAAATACTCATATCATATTAAAAGTATGCGTATAAACGCAATCTATAAACGTAGTAAACATTTTAAAGGGATTGATGGATTCAATTTAATATCTATTTATAAATTAAGTGGCATTATTTCAAAACACATCCGTTACATTACTCAATTTTTCGCTTTCATCTAATGTTTATTGTATCCATTAACAAAGCATATTTTTCCTTTCATTTTATTTAGCTTATTAAACACCATGCTACTGGAATATGTTCTCGACCAATTGTAGATCATGAACATTATTCATATCATTGTGAGAATAATACTGATATAGATCATGCTAGTACAGAGAAATCTATTCCCATGTCTAAATGCTCTGAATTTGTATCCAATCCAATTCCGTTTCATTGCCATCTAATGCTCACAATAATAATAATAGCAGTAATGCTCTTTCAGATGTTTTCAGTCATGATCCTGATCACAGTTCTTACCTACGGACAATAATAATGATAATAACAATAATGATAAACACAATTCCTCATTATCTTCAAAACCTGATTTCGTCATAAAAGGTAGGATTTTTTTCACATTAACAAATCATTTTTTTGATCAATGGGTTATGGATTACCTTGATTCTAATGGAATTCAGTACTCCAGTTAAGCATATTATAAGTGATTGGTTGATTTTAAAAAAGAAAAGATAGTAGACAGACAAATTATATCGGAATCAGTTTGACTAAAATAAACTAATCATAAACACGTCGTAAGTTTTTAGGATATGTTAGTCTTATTGTCTTCCAATTATTCTTTATTTTCCGGCCATATACATGCTCTATCTGCATTTTCATTATTTCAGGTATCCCTGTAAGTTCTCAGAAGTAGGCTATAATACTAATAATTCATCTAAACATCTGGTAATCTGAGAAGTAGTTAATGTGGAGCTACCACCTAGATCTTCATTCCGATTGCTCGTTGTTTTCTGTTTTTTTTTTAATTAACAGATTCCTTAATTGTGTTTTTCAAAAACTCTTATGTATGCTTGATTCATAACATTCAAACAATGTAGTCCTGTCACGTAAAGGCATTAATCGAGTGCATAGTTTTTTAAATACTCCAAGTGACTATATGGGAATAATCGGGATAAAGTTTTGTGTCTTTCAAAATCAAAAATATTGTCTTATATCTGTTCTTCGTCGGTATATAGTAGGATATTAGGACATGAAGCAAATAAACACACTGTTTAACTTCAGTATTACTAACTTTAATTAAATAGTGTCAATACATGTAGCCCGTGAGTATTTTTCTAAGCTTCATTAAACACTGTCAATTTATTAAATGGAGGTCGACTGAACTCGTGTTATTTATGAGTGTTTTCTTCACCATTTAAATTGACAGTCATTTGAATTTTGGAATACATGGTTCATCCATCTTGTTCAATGCAACGTGATGACGTCAGAAAGAGCTAGTGTACTAAAAACATCACGGTTTCTTAACTGCGTTTACACCACAGCATTAACTCACCAATCATATTTATTATGTTAATAAATTTAGGTTCTTGCAATTTTGTTTCTTTTTACAAAAAATGTAACTAAATCTGGTTTAAGCTTGTCATTGCAAGTTTGTAAATAATACCTATTTAACCGTAAAAAAAAGAAAACAGTTCAATTTATTGACATGTGCTTCCCATTTAAATATTAAATATAGAATGTTCAGGGAAAGGATCTCTTTTGAATGAATTTATTATCAAGCTATGTAACCGTATATATATATATATAGTCGTACGGACCCCAACTGAGTAGTCTGCATATACCAACATGGCTGATAGCAGAAGTCGATGATGCCATATTTTGGTTTGGCCATCCCTGACTTTCTTCCAACCGTCTCCAACACTAATCAACCTTGCGAGTCGTGTTAATCAGTGTTCAGGCATACGTAACACGTGACCCAATCATGTCAATCGATGAAGATTCACAACCTCATCAACTGATTTACCATCATTTCCTAACACTGCTTCTAACCTCACTATTACTTACCCGATGATCCAAGCAGATACGAGCACACAACTTTTTTCAGTAGTTGAGATCATGAGTCGATTAAAGCTAAACCACCACGAGAAACCCGGAAGCACTGGACGGTCGTTTCTTCCTGTTGTGAGACTCCTCAGTAGTGCGCATCCATGACCTCGCCTCGCGGGATTCGAACCCAGGACTTATCAGTCTCGTGCCGTGCACTCGACCATTAGACCATTGAGTTGGCCGGCATCCGACGGTGTTAATGTCTAACTTCAACTAATCCACGAAATTGAGCGACACATCCACCATTGTCATCAGTGAGTTCCTATCTCACAACTGACCCGGTTGAACTCCACTGGTCATTGCTTCTCACTAGAACTCAAGGATATACCTGTTGAAGCCAGTCACTAGTGAGCATATGTTGATTAGTATTGTTATTATTCATATTACATAAACTAGTATTATAATTTTTTTTCTACAACATCATCTCACAAATCTGATAATTTAACAAACATTTTCATATATACAATTGTACAACCTAATAATGAAATTCGTTGGAAAGAGATCCCTTCACTGAAATTCATATGATTAAGTTCGATATGTCATCTTATTTTATAATAAGAATACAATCTCCTATTAAAATTTAATAATATTATTATAGTAATTTCAATGGTTAAGATCATGAGTCAATTGAAGCTAGATCACCATGGAAAACCTGGAAGCACTGGACGGCCGTTTCGTTCTATTGTGGGACTCCTCAGCAGTGCGCATCCAATATTATTATACTAATTAAAGCTATTACTGAATATGCGTTTTTTCTGATAGTTTTGTGCAAACCTTCTGTTGTTTTATAATTTTTTTTAAATATATGTATCTAGGTGGATCACCAATTGTACAGTTTCATATATGCCCTGAAAAACGTTTTATATTAACAAAAGATAATGAAGGTATAGTAGCTGTATATGATGTTTTAAAAGTAAGTATAACTCTTCATTTAAATTTAATCGAACAGTTTCATAGTATTTAGGCATTAAGTTAATGTAATACACATTAAAGTGGAAGAATGTATTTGTAAAAAATTTCCTTGATATAAAGCTTGAATCAGATTGTCAAGCGAAATATGTTGGATTTACTTCAAATTCATTCGCTGAGATTTTACAAATACATTCTTCCACTTTAAGTATAATTCTTCATTTATTAATTATTCATTTTCCTAATTATGTGTATGTTTAGTAAATAAAATGAATGAATATTTATAATGTATGAATTTAATTATCACCATCAGCGAGTAATCAGTAGTAAACATGATTTTGCTTCTGTTAGTGTTTTGCAAGTAAACTGTTTGGAAATTATGTGATAACCCCAAATGCCATGGTACGGCCGAGAGTGGGGAGACTCCGCTCTCCCTCTCCAAATGCTCTCACATGGCCACGCGTATATAGCCTCTGTCAGGGAAGTCCTACTCACTGCCTTCTCGTGGCGGGAGTGTTGTTTACGAAATTGAGAGGACGAAAAGCGAATGTCCGGTGCTTTAACAGGGTTGGTGGATACGGAGAGTCCACCTAGGGGAGTTGGAAAACCCTGATTCCAAACCAGTGGTGTACATGGGCTCCAGTATCCTGAAAGAACAAATGGCGTACGAACCAGTTATTGTTCACTAGCTACCATGGGACTGCATCTCCTTATGTTGCTCCACTGCTTTGTGGATTAAACCTTCGGGTCGAAGGCTCCGTGTGTGGCTCCCTAAAAAAACCACTTGCTTCGGTCTGAGCACCCGTGCAGTATCACAGCCCTCACACATATCAAGTGAGATTTTTGTGGCGCATAAATGTTATATAAGTAATATATTTCTAAGTTTATTTATTTATTTGAACACAGATATTGGTACATGGAGTCACCAGATTCATATGCGCCACACAGATCTCATTTGATATGTGTGTGGGCTGAGATACTATCCGAGTGTTCAGACTGAAACAGATGGTTTTCTTAGGAGACCAAACATGGTGCCTTTGATCTAAAGATCTGCTCCACAAGGCAGTGGAGCATCGTAAGGAGATGAAGTCCGATGGTAGCTGGTGACCAATAATTGGTTCATGCTCCATTCGTTCTCTCAGGATACTGGAGCCCATATGCACAATTGATTTTGAATGAGGGTTTTCGAACTCCCCTAGGTGGACTCCATATCCACCAACCCGGTTAAAGCTCCGGACATTCGCTTTTCGTCCTGTTAATTTCATAAAGAACAGTAATGCCGTGAGAAGGCAGTGAGTAAGACTTCCCTGGTAGTGGTTGTATACACGTGGTCATGTGAGATGATTTCGAGATCGAGAGCTGACTCTCTCCACTCTCGACCGTACCAGGGCATATTTGGGAGCATTTCTAAGTCGTCTGATTACATATAGATGATATGAGAAATTATTTAATAACTATTCTATATTTCTGTATTATTTCTCAGTGCTATAATTAAAGGAGTAAATGTTGTTAAAATAAATGTAAGATATTAACATATCACTACTATATTTTAGTTTCATGTACCTAACTTAATGGTTGCTTAGATTGTCAGATGGAGCATCAGCCTCGTGACTTCCAAAGGAACTCGGCTTTCACCATGAGGCGTTATAACTCTTCTAAATGAAGACCCTAACTCCCAAGACAGAGTTTAAATGGTTTGAATATTTTTTTCTGGTTAGCGTTTGTTTTAGCGATTCATTCTACTACGGGCTGTGGTCGCTAACCTCATGCCCAACGTCCTCCTTTATCCGAGCCTGGGATCGGTAGTAGCCCCAGGGGGCTCCAGGCGGAGTTTTAGTTAGACAACTATTAAAATTTAGGTAGCAATGAACTGTATTAGGATAGTAGGACCCAGGACAACGAATCTCATGGTGAGCACTTAATTTTAAGATCAGTGACTATCCAATTGTTTACATTTCTAACTTCTGTCGGTTCATGATAGTATTCAATCATTTTCTAAAACCATTTAGGGATAATTGTCATATACTGACGTGATTGAACTCCACTCCTCATGGCTTTTACGAGAACTCCAGGGATTACTCCCAAAAGTTTACATTGCTAGGGAGTTCTATACTAGGAATAAACAGTCATCGAATGCTCCCTTATCTGTCCATGATGTACATTAACTCGTTTAATTTATTTCCAATGTCTTAAACACAGCATAAAGGGAAGAAGAAATCAACTAAATATACCTAACCATTATTTCTGTATGCTCATATTATACATAATATCTAAGTACTATTATTGATTGATTTTTTGTTTCTTAAAATAATATTTTATTATATGTATAGGCATCAATGATTGAATGTTTAGGTGTTGTATCATTTGAAGAAGAAATTAAGAAACGTGAAAAACTTATTTATGTTCCAAATTGGTTTACAGTAGATTTAAAATGTGGAGTAAGTTGTTAATATGGATCATTGTTGTTATTATTCATATTTGTTTCAGCTATTTATGCAACTATATACACATATATAATCTCAAGTGAATCTATTTGAATATCAGTATGTGTTTTGATGCTTTTGAATAAAATAATTAGTGGTAATGTATAAAAATCCCGTGATTAAAAGATAACATTATATTTGTCTATGATCAATTACTACTATTTATGTTAATATAAACAATGCATCTGCTAAACTCAATTTGTGATATGTCTAAGGTGTTCATCATAATAAATTATCGGTTAAAGAAAAATCTCTTCTTGGTGTCACTAACTTCTAGTCTGAGCCATGTTGGGAGATGCAGACTACTTGGTTGGGGTCCGCGTGATTATCGTAACCAATGGTTGGAAACTCTTGGTGACATGGCTCAGAATCGATCACAATGGTGTCGGTGTATACACTCTTTGTCTTCCCTTAAACTATGAGATTAAAATCGCTTCATATCTTTCTTTCTACGAACTAATTCTTTTTTCCTGTACTATATCCTTATTGCAATCTTTCTTTTATATATTACCACCTCTGAATTAACTACTTTTATGAATCCGGTGTCCATTTTGTTGTGTTAATGAGGTATGGCAACTTGGACCGATGCATATATGTGCCTGGTCTTACGTTGTAGCTGACTGACTGACTCTTCTTGGTGTAGTTATAATGAAATTAATCATAGCAACTTACAATAAACTATGTAATAGCCGGCAAAACAGTGGTATCCGACAATTGAAACGAAAATTGAAAGTACAGAATATATAAGCTGTAATGAATCAACAAATACTCAATGCTTACACAAGAATTTAAAGTGAACGTTGAAAATGTTTCGAAAAATATTCAATTACTGGACTGAATATTACCCACAGTAGTTTGAAAATTATTAATAATCATATTAGCTACTGAATATTAGTAAGTAAAGTAATTTCCTTTTCTTATTTCTTGAACGATCCTTGCGATAAATATTTGGTGATTGCCAGTTAGATGTTAGCAGTTCAGGGATTGATATCTGAATAACGTATATTCTTTTCGATGCATATTACCAGCAACCACGATGTCTCTGATTAGACTCTTTGGTAACTTGTACAGCGAAAGATAGTAGACATTTCACAAACGCGTGTGAATAGGTTATGAGACTAATAGACATAATGATGTGTTAAAACAAACAAAAGAACAGATAACTTGTTGAAATTTCCAGATGGCATGAACAGGTAGTGTGAATGTTAAATTTACACTCAAAATCTCACTATATGTCTGATATGTTTAACAAAGTGGATGTTTCTTAACTTACGTGTCATTTGAACGATATGCTTCTATTCGTATCTGTCTTTTATCTAATTCACATCTCTTTGTTCTAGTTCACTTTAACTCACTCTAAATTTTATAGGCTTACATTGTGTTGATTGTGCATCAAATACAACTATGATTAATCCGCATTCTTTTGCAACATATCAAAAAAATGGTTACCACACCTTTTCTCCTTTTAAAGCATTTAATCTTGTTTATTCTTTTAATTCAAAAGCCTATCTTCTAGTTTCTTTTTTAAGAAAATTTTCCTCTTTTTCTTTCTTTACAGATGCCAATTATTCATTTGGATGAAGGTGATTGTTTGTCAGCCTACATAAATGCTTCTGATGCTGGTCTGTTAAATGAATTCAATGATCCCAATTATTGTTATGATACTAAAAGTGAGATGATTCACACACACACACACATAGTTAATTTATACTCTTTTGTTTTGAGTGTTTTTTTTGAAAAAAAATTATTTTCCCGTTGTTGGTGTTAAGAACGTATTTTCACTCTGAGTTCATTATCTTAACATTTCCATTTAGTGACAAATTATTATGATGGTTGTTTAGCAGATAACAGTAGAATCCAGAACACGTGCATTGGGTTGTATTTACGACTAGTCAGCTTGATTGATTTACTGCACTGATAACTATATTCCACTAAAAACTATTATTCAGTTTTAATAAAATCCATGATTTAAGTATAAGTTTAACCGGATTTTGATCATAACAGATCACTAAGTTGTTTATGTTGTCTTTGAAATATTCCAACCAACACTATTGTATGCTACTCAGTACGGTTCATCAGTATCAGAGTAATAGATGTTTTGCACTGTTATAATAGAAATTACTCATTTTTTATTTCAAATAATTCGTTCATTCATTCATTCATTGTCATTTATCTTTTCTATTATAATGTTTGATTGATTTCAGTTAATTACGGCTTTGTATTACTCAGATCATTATTTACTCGTCGGTTAGCTGCATCCTCAAGTAATACTAATACTAGTAATAATGGGAACAATATAGATAATGGTATGTTAATAATACGTGTTTATTCATATATAGGGTTGTACTATTCATTGTAACTGCATCCAATTATACTTCTTGAGAAAAAAACACTAATCTAAGTAAGCATGAATTACAATATTTTATTCATCTAATCCAGTACTTATATGTAATAAAGACTTACATAGTTACACCTGTTACCCTTCGTGGAGCATAGTCCACTGATCAAGATTTTTCAACTAACTCTGTCCTTGTATATCTTCAAGTCGATACCATGTGGTATTCGTTCTTTTGATGTATAAATTTCCAATAAAAGTGATCCATAAGAATTTCTCTATAACAGCTTGTTCTGTCGACTTTGAATTCTGTTGGTTGTTATTGCAGACTCATATCTTATCATTGTACCCACACTTATTGTTTCCCCATTTGACCAGATTCTTTGCCTTAAATTTGTTTAGGATTTTTCTAATTGATTGATAAAGTGATGAAATATGATTATTGATTTGTTACTAACTGGCATCAGTAATGGACTTCTAAGAATTCTTTTATCTTCATTGAAATACCTGTGCCCAATATTTCAACGTTTTCCTAGTCATAAATAAGGTCAACGAGTGCCTACAAACAAAATAAATGGACAGACAGTTACAAGATATGTGTCAACAAATATCATTCATATTTGAAGTCCATAGAACAACTCGCTTGGGACTATATTGTTGTAGCTCACTTTTATCAGGCGTTTATGCTAATTATTTTACCTAGAAGGACCTTGGAGCTTCACTGTTAAATTTTATCTGTATAGCCGGATCCAGCTTTGTTAGAATTCACTTGTTTTTGAGAAATACTGTTGTAGTCATGTTTTGGTTTGACGACGTAAACATTTGGCCTGATAGTTAATTAGGCGTCAATCCCATTAAAGAGTAAACAGCATCCTGTCGCTATACCATTCAATCATTTGTTTATCAAGTGACTTTTAATCATGTTTGTTCATACGTTTAAGATTTTTTGTATAAGTGTGTTATTTTGTTAGCAGAAAAAACCTATTCTACTGAACGGTTGTCTGATCTGATATCAGTTTGATTGGTGGTTCTTACGTTAATGATTCGGTCTAGTGCGTAGTCATTACTCTACTATATTTTATTATTACATAGTATCAATCAGTTCGCACATTTCGTTCATTAATATATCAATCTGGAAAAATATTTTCATCACAAAGTGTTCAAGTTTAATTCAGAACGTGTCCTCTATTTACTGTTTTGAGTTTACTAGTCTCAGCTTTCTATATCTGCTTCCACTCTTAGATTACTATGTTCAAGTCAAAAATTGTTTGTTTTTCCTCCATTGACGATAGTTATTTCAAATTAATGTAAACTGCTAATGACATATCCAGTCAAAGTAATATGTGAGTCTAGACAGACAGCCTTGTGTATCACATATCTGGTTGTCTTTTTAATTGTCTGCCTATATTTACCTTAATTTAGTCAATATTGAGTTACAACAGCTACTTATTTCGATAATGTAATAAGAAGACGAAGAGTATCAGAACAATGTCATATATTATCGCGATACATTTCGAACAATCTGCTCACAGATTACATACTTGGCAAGACCATTTATATATAAAAATAACCGGTCAACTAGACTGGAAATGGGGTAAGAGGAGACAAGGATAATAATAATAGTAAGAGTGAACATAATTGTAAACCTAATCACTCTGGCTTATAAGTCAATACTACCAGGGTAGGTTTAAGGTGGGAACAAACTGTTTTTGAATATACAATGGCGAGTTGAATTTTTGTATGACTAAGGCTTCAATATACATCAGTATACGCCCTTTTGCACTTTTATACAACACCACAAAAGCCAAGTTAAGATCAATCAATTTCCAGTCTAGTTGACTTTTTATTTTTATATGTAAATGATCTTAACAAGTATATGTGTGATCAGATTGTTCGAAATGTATTGCGCGAATATATATCATCACATAGTTCTGATAATCTTCGTCTTCTTATTACCCTATCGAAATTTATCAAAGGGACTAAATGCTTTGAGCTACTTATTTGCTTATTTCATCATTGACTTATGTTAGATTTTATTAACAAACGAATTAAAATATTTCAGATTATACAACTGGACTTGATTTCAGTATGTCCAATGGAAATTTATCCAGAGACGTTCTTCTACATGATATTTAGTTGCCTTAAATTCCTTAACCTGATATTATAAATACTAAAATGAGTTAAAACTTAATCAATTATAATAATTTATCATAGTTTATCTGTATGACAAATTCATTTTTCTTCTTTTATTACATAAATAATTTACCTCTGATTGCTATATATCCTCCTTCTCTCTGTGGCTCTCTCTCTTTCCTTAAACATAGTGCGCAACGATTTGAATGCAGATCAAATTTAGAAATTCCTGGACATACACCAATTATTTTAAGGTATTTTTCACATTAGTTTAATAATTAATGATTCAATGATTATTTCTTATAGTGATGGAAGTGGTCGACCACTTGATCGATTTTTAGCTCGTGATGCTTCTTCATTTAGTGTACGATTAAGACGTTGTAATCCAGAACCGAAATGGATTATGGAAGTTGTAGAATCTGTAAGTGTCGTTTGTATTTTTTTTAAAGTTGTATAATTTTTGCTACACCTTTTTGATCTTTAAATGAATATTTATTTATTGAATATGCATATGTTCCGGTACGACTGAGTACCGAGAATAGTATGTGACACACAAATTAGAGTGAAACTATAATTTATGAACGACCTTTGAGCGACTCTAGACTGACCTTGAGAGTGTCCACTTAATAACCAGGATAAATGAGGGTTATAAACCAGTTTTAGGAGTTAGAATTGTAATTTACAGTTGATGATTAAGGTTAAGAATTAGATTTCCGGTTTTCATCACGAACTGACATAAGCTATAATGCCAAAACTATTTATCCGAATGGATGAGTGAACTTCGCGCCGAGACCTGTTATCTTATATGTGATTAGTTCTTCCATAAATTATAGTCTCGGCCAAATAGGGTAATATTATGAATAAATTGAGTATCAGAAAATAAAAAAAAATTAATAAATGCACAAGAATCGTATACAGTAGGAGATGCATTTCAGATTAAAGTACAACCAAAATTGTCGCCATTTAGTTAGAGAGGTTTCCCTCACTCTTATGAAAAGCGTACAAGAAAATTTGGGCAAGACCACCTGTAATTCCTATTCTGAAACATGTTTAATAACATCACAACCCACTGAGTTGTTTGATCTTTAGATAGCCAACCGGGTAGTTATGGTAAATCGACTGTTACCAGTTGTATACAGCTTCATACCACGACTCCATGTGATTAATTACCTATCTACATTAATGTGGTCCAGTCCCACGATGTGGTAGTCTCTGCAATGACATTCATGAGACACATCCAAGTCGACAAAAGTCTCTGTTTCAAGTTAATAGCACCTAATGAACTGGCGTCACTGCATCCAGATTCACATTGTTGAACCTCAGTTAACTTAAAGGTTATTTCCACACATGCAAGCGTGTTTTACATAAAGTGGATAGTAAATGTTCTTCAGTAGATTATCAACTGATTTGAGATAAAAATATCAAATTGAGAAATTGCGATTTAGCTAAATTTCATTATCTCACTAAGTTAAGAGATGTAAATCCTTGTTTTTGCCACATTCATTCAATCTTTTTAGTTCTTCAACTGTCTATAGAATATATATCTCTTAATTTTCTTATCTTATAAAGTAAATTATTGTTAACATCAGAAACGTATTTAAAAATCTTTTGTAAATGTTTAAACAAACCCTTAAAGGTTTGTATACGTTAACTAACCATCAAATGACGTTTCCCTGTATTGGTATATTCCCCATTATTATAGAATTCGTAACTCATCGTCTACAAGAGAAGGAGTACGAATCGAAATTAAAACCTTTGATATTTAGTGTTTAACACGTAGACATTAATTGAAAGGCTATGATATATTATAATAGTTATCTCCCCTTTTTTTTATCTCTTTACGTTGGTCGTTTCTTCTTCTCTATAGTGTAAACTACCTAAACCAGTTCGTATAGCGTTTTGCCTCGTTCCTGGTGTTATTGAAGTAGACAGTCAAGGTCAACAGTAAGTAGTTTCTTTATTCTCATCTCAAATTGTTGTTTTATTGTTTTGTAGATTTGGTTTTTACTAGATAAAGTAATATTTTTTAAGTTGTTGATGTTATTGAAGTGTTAACTGGTAGTATGGTGCGTGTTACTTATATTGACATAAGTAGTATATGACATGAGTCAGGAATGTAATGTCTGGCGGCAGAAGATGGGGAAGATCAAGTAAGGAAGAGAAGGAATAGAAAGCGATTAGTATGGAAACGCAAGAACAATGGAGTCCGAGACGATTATTGAACATTTTACAAATTAAGTATTATAGTATGGTTTTTCTATTTTACCAAGTAACTCTGTAATGTTGTGCTAAATATAATTCGGTTGTCCTCACCTGTGTTCTCCTTCACTAGGTTTGGTGTCGCTGCCTCCACTAAGGATGAAGGTTCCATGGCCGAAGGAATTTGAGGACGGAGATGTGGTGGGCTTCCTGAAGGAGTTTGAGGCCGTGGCGTAGCTGGTGGGAGTGAAGGAGCCGAAGGCGAAGGTGGTGGTTCTGGGGACGCTACTGAGAGGCAGGGCGAAGGCTGTATATGACAGCTTGGACAGTGCTGGCGGAAAGACAACATGAGAGACAGTCACGGAGCGGTTGGTGGTGGAGTTCGACAGCCCAGTAGACAGGGAGGAAGCACTGCAGAAGTTCCGGTTGGCGAGATTGTCGGTCGATGGTGACCCACTGGTGCTGGTTGTGGAGCTAACCAGGTTGTTACGCCGTGCGCTGCCGAATCTGCATGAGGAGTCGGAGGCACATTTGTTGGCGTCGCAGTTTATTGAGAGTGTGCCTGCCACCGTTTCCCAGCAGCTGAAACTAGTAAACGCAGCGCAACCTATGGATATCAGTGAACTGGCGAAGGTGACTCGTCAGCTAATGACACGAACAGTAGCTCCGGTCGGGTTTGGAAAGTAGGAGATAAAGTGTCGAGGAGAAGATTGAGGAACTGGGGCGTGAGATTGCAGCAATATGAGTGAATCATAAAAGGAATGATAAATGTAACGCTTGTGGAGGGACAGGACATTGGGACGTGGAAACCTTTCGCAGTGGGGGACCTAGTAAATTGTTGTTGTTTCGCCTTCTTTATGTCTGATATTTGTTACTTTTCCACGTCCCTTATTGCCTCCCTCCTTTCTCTTCTTAACCTTTTTGTCGTCCATTTCGGTTGTGGCCAGGACTTATTATGCATCCAGATTCGGCAGCGCACGGCGTAACAACCTGGTTAGCTCCACAACCAGCACCAGTGGGTCACCATCGACCGACAATCTCGCCAACCGGAACTTCTGCAGTGCTTCCTCCCTGTCTACTGGGTTGTCGAACTCCACCACCAACCGCTCCGTGACTGTCTCTCATGTTGTCTTTCCGCCAGCACTGTCCAAGCTGTCATATACAGCCTTCGCCCTGCCTCTCAGTAGCGTCCCCAGAACCACCACCTTCGCCTTCGGCTCCTTCACTCCCACCAGCTACGCCACGGCCTCAAACTCCTTCAGGAAGCCCACCACATCTCCGTCCTCAAATTCCTTCGGCCATGGAACCTTCATCCTTAGTGGAGGCAGCGACACCAAACCTAGTGAAGGAGAACACAGGTGAGGACAACCGAATTATATTTAGCACAACATTACAGAGTTACTTGGTAAAATAGAAAAACCATACTATAATACTTAATTTGTAAAATGTTCAATAATCGTCTCGGACTCCATTGTTCTTGCGTTTCCATACTAATCGCTTTCTATTCCTTCTCTTCCTTACTTGATCTTCCCCATCTTCTGCCGCCAGATATTACATTCCTGACTCATGTCATATACTACTTATGTCAATATAAGTAACACGCACCACGGTACCATTTAGATCAAGGTGTTAAGAATTTGATTTCCTCAAATATCAGTAGAAATATAGAAAAAGAATTTACCTCGTCCCCCGTTTTTTTATTCGTTCATTGTTATGAGGTTGGATTATGTTTACACATTCACTACGTGGTGAAGTCAGCTAGTCATACATATATTGTTTGCTTCGGTTCACGTTATTATACCGTTATCAATACAATGTAATAAATTATCACAAAAGTAATTAAGTTGTAGTAAAAGTAAACTTAATAAAAAAGATTAGGTTTAAGTAATTTGTCTTGAGATGAATAAATCGGAGTTCCTGAGAAAATTGTCAATATCATCCGGATCTCATACGACGGACTACAGTGCAAAGTCGTGCATGGAGGACAGCTGACAGATGCATTCCAAGTAAGGACCGGAGTCAGACAAGGCTGTCTACTCTCTCCCTTCCTCTTTCTTCTGGTGGTCGACTGGATTATAAAGGCCTCGACATCTGAGAGAAAACACGGAATACAATGGACAGCCCAGAATCAATTAAACGATTTGGACTTCGCAGATGACCTAGCATTCGTATCCAATACACATGAACAAATACAGATAAATACAGCCAGTGTTGCAGCAATCTCTGCATCAGTAGGCCTCAAGATACACAAGGGAAAACCAAGGTCCTCAAATACGACACAGAGAACAGCAATCCTGTCACATTTGATGGCGAAACTCTGGAAGATGTAGAATCCTTCATCATCGATGAACAAGGAGGTTCAGATGCAGACGTAAAGGCGAGAATTGGCAAAGCAAGGGCCGCATTCCTAGAATTGTAGAACATATGGAACTCAAAACAACTTTCAATCTTCAATATGAACGTCAAGACAGTTCTGCCGTACGGAGCTGAAACTTGAAGAACTACAACAACCACCATCAAGAAGGTGCAAGTATTTATAAATAGCTGTCTACGCAAGATACTCAACATCGATTGGCCGGATACAATCAGCAACAGCCTTCTGTGAGAGAGAACAAACCAACTTCCAGCTGAAGAAGAAATTAGGAAAAGACTATGGAAATGGATCGGACATGCATTACGCAAATCGTCAAACTGCATCACGAGGCAAGCCCTAACTTGGAATCCTGAAGGGAAGCGGAAAAGAGGAAAGCCAAAAAAAAACACATTATGTTGGGAAATAGAATCAGATATGAAAAAGATGAATTACAACTGGAAGGAGCTGGAAAGGATTGTTTGGGACAGGGTTGGATGGCGAATGCTGGTGAGAGGTGTATGCTCTTTCACGAGGAGTAACAGGCGTAAGTATGTAAGAGATGAATAAATGAATTCGTCGAGTAAAAGATGTAAAATGATTTTGAATTTCAGGATCTATGGATATATTCAGTCAGTCAGTAACAAAGTAGAACTTCGTACGTACGTACGTACATCAGTTCGAGTTGCAATACCACATTAGCACAGAGATGCATTTATCGATTTAAATCCCGTAGTGGTAGGGGTAGAAAAAGCATAAGGAGTAATCGGAAAAATTAGGGTTTGAAGATATCATTCAAGGGGTATAATCCAGTGAAATAAATCTGCAAAGAGAAAAAAAGGGTCATGAAGAATTCCGAAGAATAGAATTTGGGAGAACACAAAGGGTGGATGCACCCGCACCACTGCAAACGATTTCGAGACATGTCATTCAAGGTCTCTAACCATCGGTTGCTATCTTCCCGTGGGTCCCACCAGGTAGTCTGCACCTACCAATATGGCTCAGTACACTTGTCATTCACTTCATCGATTTGTGCCATGATTTGGTTTGGCCGCCCTTAGCTTTCTTCCAACCAACCCCTACACCAGAAGACATCGCACGTCGGGGAGGTCGGTGGTTGGGCATACGTAACAGGTGTCCCAGCCATCTAAACTGATGAAGTTTCACTACTTCATCAATCGATTTGCCATCCTTACCTAGTACCCACTTCATAACAACTGCATAACCTACTCGGTGGTCATAGTATATACGAGCAATGCTCCGAAGACACCTATGATCGAATACTAGTAACCTACGAATATCGTCTACTGTTGCCGGCCATGTTTCACAGCCATAAAGTAGGAGGGAACGAACTGCTGCACAATAAACCCGTCCTTTGGTTGGTAGACAGATATCTCGCCGACGCCACAAATGACGCAATTTGGCAAAAGCTAGTCGAGTCTTCTGTATCAGTGCTAAGATTTCGTCACACACCAGACCACAAGGGCTGATGAGACTTCCAAGATAAGTGAAGCGGTCGACACGCTCAACTACTTCAATCTCTATCATTAGTTCGTTTGTCGATGCAACTCAATCCTGAAGTAACATTTTGCATTTCGAGGGGGAGAATCGCATCCCGAACATGCTTGCATTGTTGCTTAGAGTGGTCAGAAGACTCTGCATTTTGTCAGCGTCTTCACCAAATAAAACTATGTCATCAGCATATTGTAAGTCAACAAGTGGATGTCCCAGTAAAAGTTTAACTCCTAGAAATTTAGATAAGGAAAGTGTTGTATCTAAAATAATGGCTACGATAAAGTCATCAAGAATGGAGAGAGTGGACAGCCCTGACGAACACAACTTGAAGTAATCAATTCTGATGACAGTTTGCCATAAGCTCTCACTCTACTAGTTGTGTTCATGTAGAGGGCCTTTATAAGGCTAATGTACTCCTTTCAGTGACAAACACTGCCACAGAACCTCGCGATCAACAGAGTTAAATGCCGCCTTAAGATCTAGAAATAGTACGATTATAGGGCGTCTGAATGTGTGTCTATGTTCTAGGACCTGACGTAGTGTGAATATCTGTTCTATACAACTACGTCCAGGTCGGAAACCAGCCTGATTTTCTCTAGTCTTCTTCACTAAATATATTACCTTAAATCCCAAATGACCTATAGAGTTAAAATATATTTAATTCCATGGTTACTCTGAACGAATTATTTATCAATAATTAAATAGCACTGCACACTTTTGGTTCACTTATCTACTGATTACCACCAAATAGATCTTGAAATTGTTTTATCGTTTACAAAACTTGTTGTTAAATGCTGTTATTGTTAATTTATTATCCAACAAAAAAAGAAAGAAAGGAAATACAGTCAACCTAAGGACTGCTGTTTCATATAAGTATTTTTAATAATTACTTCATTCAGTAAAATATTATAGATTTTCGAAAATTACATAATGCTTTTTATTTGTATTCACAAGTTTCTTACATAGTTAAGCACTATGCTATAAATTGTGACTCATATTGACTAATGTTGGGGGATACTAGATCCCCAGAAATCGCTTGGTAGACGTCTGATGTTTGTAATCTTGTTCCTTTTTTTGAATTTCTCATTTTCGTCCAAAAGCATCCACTTTCATCTTCAGTTTGTACTTCCCACCTGGAGAATTTCAAATGTCATTGTTTCGTTTCCTCTTTGAGTACGCTATGTTTTGACGTTTTCCAAGGACATTTTTGTACTGTATATACACACATGAGTTGTGTGCTTCTTCGTTTGTGCTTCCAGTCTGCTTCTGAAAATATATATTTCCCTCTGCTAAATCTGGTTTTCCCCCTCTAGTTAGCAGGGCTGGTGCGCAATGAACAGTCTAGCTTGTCCTTGTTGGGGACGATAGATCCCCAAACTCATATTTTTAAATTTTATCGCATCGATCAACTTATCGATTAAATGCTTAAATGTTTGTATTTGGGGTCAATTGATGAACTGATCGATTAAATGTTTGAGTAGCAGTCAATAGATGAACTATCGATTCAATGGGCAAATAGGTCAATTTATGAACTCATTGATTAGTGTTTAAAAATTTTCTATGACAATATCGATTATATATATTTATATATATATGTTTTAAATCGTGCTTGCTTGCTTGCTCGCTCGCTCGCTTCTGGCTGTTTCAGAATATATTTTCCATACCAAGCCTGGACTTCTTCTTCTTCTAGAAAGCGGGGCTGGGACGCGTCAATAGTTAGATCACTGGTCTTGGGTCACTGAGTATTGTTCTCGTTCGCAGTTTAAGTGAACTCGTGAAGGTTTTCAAACATAACAGTCCTGCTGTTGTGATCCATTCATCGGTTTTAGGTAATAACATAATGTCTTCAGACGGAGCAACTAATATATAAACTATGTTTATATATGTTATTCCGCTTCTAAATACACTTTGTAAGCTGATCATAATAACCCGAGTAAGTAAACTGTAGTGTAGGTGAAGGTCGTTTTGAACTTGTCCTATAGTTGTTAAGATAGTTAAATTCTTTAACTTCTTTAATTCAATGTCATATACTATGAAATGTATGTCGATGATTTTCTCATCACTTAATTTATTATTACACTATTGATTAACCAATGTATTTTGATTGTTCTTGACTAACTCAGGCGTGTTGTACCAATGAATTCATTAAAACGAGACTCATTGGCTGCTAATGATGTTTTATTAATACGTAAAGTTATGGAACATGTATTTCAACGTTTATATAAACTAGCGGATACATTAACCATGAATGGTACGTTATCTAGTCCACCATCACCTAGATCCACAAGTGAGTTGACTATCCCAATGAATTTCTTTAATTTTATAGGAAGATATTTGGTTTTAGTGATTAATTGATCATATACTTATTCATGTACTTGACTTTAAACTACACTCTAAGTTTTATCACTAATGATACTATTCGATTACCTAAGTCAAAGCAGATAGATTGGTGATCGAACTGCTGATCTCATAAGTTAAAGAAATGGAATCGACAAGAAGGAAAAAGAATCCAAGGTGAATATTTCTCTTATTTTCAACTAGATCGTTTCAATCTAGCTTCAAGACGTCCTGTTATTACGGTTTTTCTGCATTCAATAAGGCTTAGGTGTTCTTGTACATTGTGCAGAGCACATACTCTATAGGAAAGGACAGTCGCATTTTAATCTTGTCTACTGGTAAAGTATCAATGACACGTTATTTTTATATTCATCAATAAGTCGTTATCAGGTGTTATCTGATCTATTTTTGTTTGTTTGTTTCTCACTTGATACTTATGGAAATAAGCGGATGTCAGAGCAAGTGCTTCAATCGACCATAGTCAATTTTTACTTATTACTAGTTCCCAAGTGTCTTTCTTGACTTAATTTATTTACTGAAGTGTTAGAATCACTCATTACAATTGTTTCACCTCAGCGCTCAGATTTTTGGTAGCGGTTTGACGACTTTCGATAGGAATTGTCTCTTATTTCATCTTCTTAGCAGTCATTGGTGTTAGGAGTTTATCCAGACTACAAACATGGTAAATCTGTGGATTGTTCACTTCGGTCTTAATTAAACTCATTGATTATGCACACATCGATTATTCACTAATTTCATACTTTTAGCCAATATTTATTCATATATATGTAGTATTATGTAGTTGTACATGAATAGTCGACCGGTGTATTTCTATTTTGTTACACTAATATTGTCAACTAACATCGTTACTTGTACACTTTTGTGATCTTATTTTCTTTGCTCACTTTTAAAAGGACAAAATGATGATACTGGTCAAGCTGTTCCGCCTAAATCATCATCTTATTGTGATACAACTTCCAATCCTCAAACGCCTGTAATGGCACCATTAAATCTTCCACCTGAAACATTACAAATTGATTTGGCTAGAATAATAGCGACAGCTTCATCAAATATTCCGCAACCTGAGAATATTATTGAGATATGGTGTGGTGATCAGGTAAGTTAAATACTAGTTTTACTTTTTTCCAGGAATAGTTCTTCGATACTTGTATCAAAGTGTTTTAAGGCACCCAAATGCCCTAGTACGGTCGACCTCGGGAAGAGTCAGCACTCCTACCAAATTGCTTTCACAAGGCCACGCGTATACAGCCACTGCCAGGGAAGTCCTACTCACTGCCTTCTCGTGGCTGGTTTGTTCCGAAAATGAGAGGACGAACAACGAGTGTCTGGCGCCTTAACCTGGTTGGTGGATGTGGAAGATCCACCCAGAGGAGTTAGAAAACTCTGGTTCCAAACCAATAGTGCACATGGGCTCCAGAATCCTAGCGGGACAAATGACGTACGAACCAATTATTGGTCACCGGCCAAAATGGGACTTCATCTCCCTTACGTTACTCAACTGTCCTATGGATTAGACCATTAGGTCAAAGGCTCTGTGTATGGCCCCTAAGAAAACCACTGGCTTCGGTCTGGACACCCGGGTATTATCACAGGCCACACACTAAAATGAACAAGATCAGCAGCTTCATGTCTAATGGTTTGAAAGTGACCAAAATCATTAGAAACCATTTAGTAGTTGAATTCATAAATGGATCTAATTTAGACGACCATTGAAAACTTGCAAACACCGGACGGTTGTTTCATCCTAGTGTGGGACTCCTCAACAATGCACACAGACGATCCCATTCCCGGGACTCGGTTACGCGATCTTTGCTCTCGTACGTGACACTTAATCTCTAGAACTCTGAGCTTGTACCCAACAATGTTAACGTTTAGCTCCAATTGATAAATGATGTTGCGCAAACCCCCATCAATTGTCTGAAGTGGATAACTGTACTTCATGGCATGGATTAAACAAAACTGATAACAGCTCACTGTTCCAGAAGTTAGGCGTTCGCACGCGTAACCGGACGTCTTCAGTTCGAGTCCCACGTGTCGCATCGCAGATAAGGAGTCCCATACTAGAACGAAAACACCGTGCAGTGCTACTAGATTTTCAATCGAGATCCAGCCTAGATCGACTTATGAATTTACCTATTAAATTAACTACAATCTCCACAAACTCTTATTCTGATGAAAGTCATTTCAAACAACATGTAATAGTGAACTATGTTGTTTTCGATTAGATCCTCATCAGGTTTTACTTTAATATACAGCAATATTTATATGCATATACGAAATTTCTAAACCAATCAAGGCAGTCTATAAGTCAATGATAACAGTGGAATAGATTACATAGTTAAATATAATAAGTGAAAAGTACAAATTGGTAGTGTGATGCTAGGTGTACTAGTTGCGACAAGAATAAAAAAGGCTTGAATCAATGTTTTATGATGGGAATTAGGTTAACGGTCAGAAAAAAACATTCACAAAAATCATATGATTACGCAATAAGAAATGTTCAGATAATTGGACCGTGAAGCGTATATTTGAGAAAAGAAAAGGGTGAGGAGTGAAGAAAAATAAAGCGAAGAAAGTATGGAAAACAATAGTAAATAAGGTCATTTATTAAGGTCAAAGGAGAGATAAAGGTGTTACAAATTTCTTTTGAACACAAAGACTTGAATTGTTGGCTCGAATTCCTATAGCTTCTGCTATATGTACGAGATGAGATTGAACCCCGTAAGGAAAACTAGTAGGAATACGATAAATTACTTTAAATGACCTATTTCTGTCTACCACATGACCACTATCGATCAAGTGTGATAGAACTGAGCTGCATATTGTCTTGACAATACCTTTTCGTAACCATGAAGAGAGGTGTTCACTAACTCTTTGGCTCAGTTGTCTGGTAGTGCGCCCAATATAACTTTCTCCACAAGAGCAGCTGAATTCGTAGATACACATAGATGCGACATAACCAGGTGACTTATCCTTTAGTTGGGGAATCACCGTAGATCGGGTCGAGTACGATAGACAGATATTAACTGCATTAAACGTTCTCTTAACCGCTCTGGTCAGTCTATCTCGTAACACATTACCAGCTACATCTTCATTGAATTGCAGCTTCATGAAGAGGGGTTTCTTACTAGCCGTTGATATCACTATTTTCGTGTTTGTTACATGCAAGTGTTTCTTCAGGAAACCTTGTGGATAATCCATTTTGTTGGGGTGACCCAGAGCGCTTCGTGGACACATTCAAAAGAGCACTACTGAAAGGGGAAGGAGAGGGGACAAGTCAGGTAATTACGAAATTCTTAAAAGCTTATAGAACTACGCCTAACCCTATTGTCCCAGATTGAAAATCCCCTGCTGAAGCGATGTTCGGGAGAAGCATCCGAACTACATTCGACGCCATGTTACCACCTAAACTAATGGATGGACGCAGAAAAATCAGAATATTCGTAGTTTTAACGTTGGTGATAAAGTGCTCGTCAAAGCATACATTGGGAAAAATCGTTGGGAACCGGGAGTCATTGAGAAGAGAATGGGGAATGTTTTATACAAAGTGCGTGGGACTTTTGGAACATGGATTAGACACATTAATCAAATACACAGAGAGAAAAGGACTCTAGACACGGTAGATAGTCAATTGAGGCTTCCGCGAATTATAATTACAGATACTCCAATGACAGGAACCCCAACAGACACTCATAGACGCTGGATACCAAGAATGTCCGAACGCCACAGGAAACCAGTTATAACGCTGCAAGTAGACCCGAAGAAGAGGTTTTATTTTTTGAAAGGTGGCAGGTGTTGGGGTGACCCAGAAAATTTCTCGCAAGGGTCAAGCAAGGATCAGGAAAACACTAAGAAGCGTTTCCTCCAATCAGCGTTCAATTTGCAAGACTTATCACATTTCAATCGACATATTACGTTGATGATACTTTCATTACTGTCGATCAGAACATTACAAAAGAAGAACTCTTAGAACTATTTAGCAATAAACATCCAGCAATCAAATTTACGTTTGAAGAGGAACTTGATAATAAACTACATTTTCTGGACGTTTTGTTAAACAGAAAAGAAAATGGTTCTATCAGTAGAAGTGTGTATGGGAAAAGCTCTTCAGCAAGCCAGTACACACATTTCTTGAGCTTTGTACCCTTTCATTATAAGAGAAAACTAGTCAAATATCTTGCAAATAGAGCTAGGAAGATACGCTCAGCCGATACAATAAACAAGGAACTAGAGCTCATACATAATATGTCGATTGAAATGTGATAAGTCTTGCAAATTGAACGCTGATTGGAGGAAACGCTTCTTAGTGTTTTCCTGATCCTTGCTTGACCCTTGCGAGAAATTTTCTGGGTCACCCCAACACCTGCCACCTTTCAAAAAATAAAACCTCTTCTTCGGGTCTACTTGCAGCGTTATAACTGGTTTCCTGTGGCGTTCGGACATTCTTGGTATCCAGCGTCTATGAGTGTCTGTTGGGGTTCCTGTCATTGGAGTATCTGTAATTATAATTCGCGGAAGCCTCAATTGACTATCTACCGTGTCTAGAGTCCTTTTCTCTCTGTGTATTTGATTAATGTGTCTAATCCATGTTCCAAAAGTCCCACGCACTTTGTATAAAACATTCCCCATTCTCTTCTCAATGACTCCCGGTTCCCAACGATTTTTCCCAATGTATGCTTTGACGAGCACTTTATCACCAACGTTAAAACTACGAATATTCTGATTTTTCTGCGTCCATCCATTAGTTTAGGTGGTAACATGGCGTCGAATGTAGTTCGGATGCTTCTCCCGAACATCGCTTCAGCAGGGGATTTTCAATCTGGGACAATAGGGTTAGGCGTAGTTCTATAAGCTTTTAAGAATTTCGTAATTACCTGACTTGTCCCCTCTCCTTCCCCTTTCAGTAGTGCTCTTTTGAATGTGTCCACGAAGCGCTCTGGGTCACCCCAACAAAATGGATTATCCACAAGGTTTCCTGAAGAAACACTTGCATGTAACAAACACGAAAATAGTGATATCAACGGCTAGTAAGAAACCCCTCTTCATGAAGCTGCAATTCAATGAAGATGTAGCTGGTAATGTGTTACGAGATAGACTGACCAGAGCGGTTAAGAGAACGTTTAATGCAGTTAATATCTGTCTATCGTACTCGACCCGATCTACGGTGATTCCCCAACTAAAGGATAAGTCACCTGGTTATGTCGCATCTATGTGTATCTACGAATTCAGCTGCTCTTGTGGAGAAAGTTATATTGGGCGCACTACCAGACAACTGAGCCAAAGAGTTAGTGAACACCTCTCTTCATGGTTACGAAAAGGTATTGTCAAGACAATATGCAGCTCAGTTCTATCACACTTGATCGATAGTGGTCATGTGGTAGACAGAAATAGGTCATTTAAAGTAATTTATCGTATTCCTACTAGTTTTCCTTACGGGGTTCAATCTCATCTCGTACATATAGCAGAAGCTATAGGAATTCGAGCCAACAATTCAAGTCTTTGTGTTCAAAAGAAATTTGTAACACCTTTATCTCTCCTTTGACCTTAATAAATGACCTTATTTACTATTGTTTTCCATACTTTCTTCGCTTTATTTTTCTTCACTCCTCACCCTTTTCTTTTCTCAAATATACGCTTCACGGTCCAATTATCTGAACATTTCTTATTGCGTAATCATATGATTTTTGTGAATGTTTTTTTCTGACCGTTAACCTAATTCCCATCATAAAACATTGATTCAAGCCTTTTTTATTCTTGTCGCAACTAGTACACCTAGCATCACACTACCAATTTGTACTTTTCACTTATTATATTTAACTATGTAATCTATTCCACTGTTATCATTAACTTATAGACTGCCTTGATTGGTTTAGAAATTTCGTATATGCATATAAATATTGCTGTATATTAAAGTAAAACCTGATGAGGATCTAATCGAAAACAACATAGTTCACTACTATGTGTTTTTAAAAGTCTCATTGTTGTTATTGTTGAAAAAAATACAGTTGAGGCGAGATCAATGAAAACACCCATACATTTTATACTTTAACCTAATATGTCCTGTGATCTCATCCGGATAGTTTACATCTCTCTGATAAGACGTGCAATTGTTACATCTTATTCTTATCATTTTCATGTTTTTTCTTCCCTAACGTAATCGTACTTATCAAAGTAAGGTTTAAGTTATCGTGTTTACATATTTCTTGCTTGTATTAGTCAACCTTCATGTTCAAATCATTGGCCATAGATTTATTCTGTTTATTCACAACCGAATATGTAATCGGTGTGTTGTTCTATTCTATTATTTAAATGGAATCGTTTCGTTTAATTCATTTTAAATGGGCATTATTTTGATTCTTCAATAATCAAGTAAATTATGTTATTGATATCACAAATTAAGGTACATAGAGGTTACAGAATTAAAGGAGAATTTCTTTGTATGTTTTGTACTTGTGCTAAAAAATTTGTCACATACACTTCTCAAAACTTGTTTAACTTCATAAATTAATTAAATTTGTTCGTACACTTAATCAGTTCACTCATATTCCGTGAATAGTCTATTTGAGCATATAAAATTATGATTTAAATCTTATACACGCGGTGAATTCCTCGTTCCAACAACATCATTATATGTGATAGTTATTTTATGAATGAATAATCGATAGGATTCTTTCAGATCATCTTGAGTATAAACTACTAATTCCTAATAAATTAAAAAGTACGTCTCCAATGAAAGTGGTTTACATAAAATGTAGATATCATTGATTAGTATTGTCAATGATCAATCCGCATGAATATGTTAGTTGACTAAATGAAATCATTCAGTATCAAAGAATACTTAATTTTTAAATGTCGTTGTGTGTGATTTGGTTGGTTATTTATTTATTAATTTTAACACATAGATATTGGTACAAGGAGGCACCAAACACATATGGGCCACACAAATCTCATTCGATATGTGTGTGGCCTGTGATACTGCCCGGGTGCCCTAACCGAAGCAGGTGGTTTTCTTAGGGGGCCACTCCCTGAGCCTTTGACCTGAAGGTCTGATCCACAAGGCAGTGGGGCATCGTAGGGAGATGCAGTCCCATGGTTGCCGGTGACCAGTAATTGGTTCATACGCCATTTGTTCCCGCAGGATACTGGAGCCCATGTGCACCATTGGTTTGGAATCCGGTTAAAGCGCCGGACATTCGCTTTTCGTCCTCTCATTTTCGTAAACAACACCTCGTCCACGAGAAGTCAGTGAGTAGGACTTCCCTGGCAGACGCTATATATGCGTGGCCATGTGAGAGCATTTGGAAAGGGAGAGCGAAGTCTCCCCACTCTCGGCCGTACCAGGGCATTTGGTTGGTAATACAATTTAACTCTTATGAAAAATTATCACATCTTTGGGAATTGTAGATACATCTTACTTGCAGTTATTAGTTAATTGAAATTCATTAGTAAAACAGGGTTTCATTATATTGCATGATGCTTTTTGCATTATGGCTACCGAACTGTTTGAATTCAAACAGAACTATTCAACAATTTAAAGAAAATCATAATTTCTAGTTCAGAATATCCTAGAAATGTTTAATCATCTCATATTTAAGTTTATTAATGAATATCATTGATAATAAAATAATATCAACATATGAGACAATTATTTGATAGTGAAGTAGTTATTCATTAATTTTTAATTTTATTCATTTGAACATATAAATACTGGTACAAGGTGGCACGAGATATATATGCGCCACACAAATCACATTTGATTTTTGTGAGGGCTGTGATACTGCCCGGATGCCCAAACCGAAGCAGGTGGTTTTCTTAGGGAGCCACAACTGGGACCTTCGGCCTAAAGGTCTGATCCACAAGGCAAGTGGAGCATCGTAAAGAGATGCAATCCGATGGTTGTCGGTGACCAATAATTGGTTCATACGCCACTCGTTACCTCGAGATACTGGAGCCCATATGCACTATTGGTTTGGAATGAGGCTTTTCCAACTCCCCTAGGTGGACTCTCCATATCCACCGACCCGGTTAAAACGCTGGACATTAACTTTTCGTCTACTCAATTCCGTAAACGACACCCCCACAGAGAGTAGGACTTCCCTGGCTATATGCGCGTGGTTATGTGAGAGCCTTTCAAGAGGGAGAGCGGACTCTCCCCACTCTTGGCCGTACCAGGGCATTTGGGGGCTATTCATTGATTAGGTAATTGTGCTCCAGGATAAAATATATCAGAAATATTCCATGTTAAGCCAGTTGTCAGGATTCATTACCATTTAGAATAAACGAAGTATTCATTGATATAATGTTTTATTTTTATTTATTCAATATTTCTTCTTTTCCATTAATTTATGTTTGCAATAAGATAACATTTGATTTGAATACTTTTTTTCCCGAAAACTATCTCACCTTTTCTTGTTCTTTGTATTCCACTTATAACAGTGTCTTGATCCTAATATGAATTTACGCAGTGCTCGTCATTTCTATTGGAAACAGTCAGGTGATTTGGTGTTAAGTTATTTAGTTACCAAAGAAAATAATACTGATAACAATTATGCTACTACTAATACTATTGATAGTAATAATAATAATTCTATTTCATCATACTTACCAACAGTCTACATAATCCCACAACTGTTACTTCAATTACTACTAGTATTCCTTCTGCTAACATAAGGAAAGAGGATAATATCAACAATTTCAATGGGAACGGGACAGATAGTAACAATTTGAAGAATGAGCATCGAGAAACCACTAGTGTCGCATCGTCATCATCTTCATCAATGAGTATTCATAATTGATGTTATTATTATTATTATTATTATTATTATTATTATTATTATTATTGCTACCGACAACCACAAACCCATTTCACTTTTTTAAATATCACAACACCATGAATAATTGGTGAACGGCTGAATCACAGATTACCAAGGATTCAACCTGAGAATATATATATAAAGAGAGAGAGGGGGGACTAAACACAACTCAACTGTATTACACGAGTAGGTAATCCTATCAGCACAATATTAAATAAATCTATACGTTTACATTTATGTGTGTTTGTGTATGTATGTATGTATAAATTGTTCTTTGTAAATTTATCTTGTTTCGTTTATCTGTTTGTTTTGTTTTGTTTGCACACACACACAGACACATACACACATTTGTTATATAATGTATATGTGTAATAGTTAGTGTCTTTCATAATTAATTCATTTTGTTGATTTGTTTTTACCCTTCATCTTATCCCATTTTCATCAATTATTATTTGTTTTTTTTGTTTATTCTATCATTCTAACACTATTTACCATTGATTTCATCATTATGTAACAAATGTATGGTAGGTGTTCATATGTATTAAGAATATAAGTAGTATAATAAAGCACTAAGATATAACAAACAAAAAAAAGAGAACAGATAACACCCATTATTTACAGTGTAACATTAAACAAATTGCCTATTTTTTTGGGGGGGGGAATTTTTGATCATTCAACCATACATAGTCACACACACACAAACACGCATATATATATATATAAATTGATTTTTGTCTCTCTAAATTGTATTCTTGTATATTGATTGAAATGTAATAGATGTTCAGAATCATTGAACAGAGGAATAAATGTTCATCTACCAGTGATATACTACTGTTTGTTTGTTGTTTTTTATTATCTTCTTTTATATTGAGTAAATGGATTGAAGTTGTTCAATATGACATTGTTTCAATTCACTAGATTGTTGTTGATAACGATGGTGTAATCTATCGATTATACATTTTATAGCTAAAGAGAAGAAAAATGACGGATTTATAATTAAGATAACTTAATGTAAGCAATGATGGATAGTGGCTAGCAGTGAAATCCAAGACGTGCGTTTCGTCCTAATAGACTGATCAATTGCAGCCTTAAACCTCAATGGGAAGATACAAGCTAAACAATATCAAGATAACTTAATATTATAGAAAATAAAAATTTTCCCTAAAGCATAATTAGTTTTTTTTTATTTCAATTCAAACAATCATCAAACATTGTCACCAAATTCTAGTTGATTGCCAGCTTAGTGGTCTAGTGGTTAAGCGCTCGTGCGCGAGACTGATAGGTCCTGGGTTGAAATCTCGCCAGGGGGGCTGGATCGTGGATGCTCACTGCTGAGGAGTCCCACAATAGGATGAAACGGCCGTCCAGTGCTTCCATGTTTTCCATGGTTGTCTAGCTTCAACTGACTCATGATCTCAACCATTGTAATTCTAGTTTGTTTAATTGCCTGATTTACTTTTCTCAGTTTTCACATTTATGCATAAATTATATTATGTATACAAAATTATTGTTTGGCTCAAAATGTAATGTTAGTAGGAATAAAAATTAGTTTGAAGAAGGTTAGAAGGGTCCAAACTAACATGTGGTATCAACCCATAAAGTTATGGATCATACATTTGAGTTATATTTGTAGGCACAGATTACGTGGTTGGGTTCTATTCGATTATCGTGGCCGATAGTTAGAAATATTGGGCGACATGACTTAGAATCAGTCAAAAATGTTACAGTTGAATTCATTCCTTCTTTCGAATCATATTCCCTATGCCTAATCCTTTTTTTAGATCACCGATATTGCTACTAATTTAGTTTTCATCCCATTGTAATGATGCGGTGTAGTAACTTAAACTGATACACTTCTTTATAAAGGTTTGTGTTTGTTCATGACTGACTGAAACATTTGAAGTTATTAGTTAATCGTTGTATCGATTGGATTGATACTCGCTTATGATGAAAAAATCGGTACTTTTTTGAGATTAATTATTTTATGCAGTGTACAAAACGAATACCTACCTTCTTTTGTGCCATCACTTATTAAGAATAAGGCACAATCAAATCGTGCTGTTTTACTCAATTGGATTAAAATATCGTAAATCCACAGACTATTAATGTCTAGATAGATAAGATAGAAAATGTTTTGAAATAAAGTAATGTAACAACAACAGAGAAAGGCTTTTTAAATTGCTATAGTAAATAAATCTTGATAGTGAACAAGTTGCCCCTAATTATTTGATTGTCTTGTTCCTATTGATGTTGTGGAATTTATTCATAACATGTTCACAATGTTATTGAAGTAAACCTAACTCAATCTGTATTTGTAATCTTGTAAGCAGAATGATCAACAGTGTATAAGTCTGCGCAATTATAGCAGTAAATCAAAGATATATGACAGTTAATTTCTGGGCAGAATATGATGAATAGCTCCTAGTGATTGGTTTTCATTGAGTTTTTAAAGTTTCGAAATAGGAAATGATTAGGGAAGAAACATATGTCTTCATTGGTTGATAACTTGTATTTGTTATGACCTAATAACCAATGTGGCATTTATTAAGTCGTTTTAGAATTTTACTAACTTATTTGAACACGAATACACAATTAGAATAAAATATTGATATTTGAATAATTAGAAGGTAGAAGACATATTCGGTGATAACTCAATGGAGACCAGTTGAAAACAGTCAATTGTCGAATTTTGGTACAGTAAAAAGTTAAATCACAGTAAAAAGTGAATTTCGAATCAGTATATCAACCGCCGAAAAAACGGAGTCTGTTTCGTTAATTCACTTTAAATTCACTCATGAATGAAAGATACTACAAGTCAGTCAAATGTTTCCCTAACCAGATTACTAGTGATTGTTTTCAGTGTTGGGGAGGATTTTTTGTGTTTTTATTTCAAGGTTATAAAGTAACTTTCTGATTTATTTACTTTAACGAACTATTAATAGTAGAAAAAGTTTTCCAAATCTAACTTCGTATCTAAAATTAATAGGACGATCCAACAATCACATCGTGTTGAAATCATAAGCCAATCTAAGTTAGACCACCATTGGAGTTCTGGTGAGAATTCGTGACCAGTGAAGTTCAACTGTATCAGACATGAGGCAGTTACTTACCGGAGTCAACGGGGAATGGTCGCGCAATATCGTGGATTGGTTGAAGTTAGACATTAACACCGCTGGTTACCGGCTCAGTGGTCTAAAGGTTAAGCGTTCGCACGCGAGGCCGAAGGCCCTAGGTTCAATTCTCTCGTGCGGAGTCGTGGATGTTCATTGATAAGGAGTCCCATACTAGGATGGAACCGCATTCCAGTGTTTGCGGGTTTGGTCATAGTGCTAAACTTGCGTATTCTTTGACTGAAAACAAGAAATTAAGTTGCTTCCAATCGTAAGATGTGCATTTCATCTTTATCTACAAGATATCAATCATGTTTACTTCACTAAATATCAATCTCCTAATTGATTCCTAAATCTATCGTTTCAAGTATCAAAGTAGTATTCACCGATAAACTATTGAGTCACAGTACACAAGTATCAATTCTGGTTTAAATTTAAACCTTTTTATTATCCACTCATAAGACTGGTTATGTTGTGACTTTATGGCCCGCTAGTTATCATGTAATCTATTCGCCAATCAATGTACGACTTATTCGCTCTTATATTGTACTAAACCAATGACGTCCCACTGGTCTGATCAGCCTAGCGTCCTATCGGTCCGTTGCTCGTCTAGCCCGTCCAGCTGAGTCTAGATTGCTAACAACAGCCTCCACTATGCGAATCGAATCGTTTATTTCAGACGTACTGGGTTTATAATATCAACCAAACAGACCGCAACGCACCATAAAATAGGAAAATAACATTCATACACAAATAAACCAAAAAAGTGTCTGTGAACGTGGGAGACAGTAATTAATAAACTAAGTATAACTTAAGAACAGTAAGTCGTATAATAATGATCTATAAGTCTATATGACGCTTATAATATATATGAATATAAATATACATAATCTAATTACTGAATAGTTAGTTATACCATAAGAATATATAGATAATATTAGTCGATTAATAGGTCTTGAAAGTTAATCGTAATTTAATATTCACTAAGATATAACAAGTTAGTACAGGATTTTTTTCTTTTGATATATGAACATCTTGTACGAATGTATCAGTTGTATATGCTAACATATTCTTATCATATTTGGTAACTGCTTTAATATTTTCAAAATGCTTATATTTAGTGGAACTGGATAGCTGATAATATCAGTATTCGTATCAATGTTAGAGGATAGATAGTTGTTTAATAGTGTTTAGAGTTTTATTAGTTATCGTTAAATACTTACTTTTAGTATTCATTGATACATTGATTGCATTCAATAAATCATCTAACATCTCAGCTTCCATTCGAATTCCAATTACTGAAAACAGAAATATTAAACAAATTTTTATCTTAGTTGAGAGCAAATCGATGTAATTAAATTGGTATCAGAAGGGGTTTTTCGTATGGATATTATAGTAATTTCAATAGTTGAGATCATAAGTCAATTGAAGAGAGAACACTGTGGAAAACTGAACGACCGTTTCGTCCTATTATGGGACTCCTTCTTTTCAGTGAGCACCCACGATCCGCCTCACGAGATTCCAACCTAGGACCTATCAGTCTCGCGCGTGAGCGCTTAACCATTAGACCAATGGACCGACCGGCATCCAAAGATGTTAATATTTAACTTCAACTAATCTACGAAATTGAGCGACACATCTGCACTGCTGAGGAGTCCCACAATAAGACGAAACGGTCGTCCAGTGCTTCCAGGTTTTCAATGGTGGTTTAAATTCAATCGACCCATGGTATCAACTATTGAAATTAAATTGGCGTTAACTTGCTACTTTTACTCCAATGTCAACATTTTATCTTACTGAAGAATTAATCTAACTCTCAGGTATATATATATATATATATATATATATATATATATATATATATATCACATTGAAATCTACTTATCCCTGCTTTATGTTTTTCAAAAAAATTTATATAGCTGACAACTTAGTTAAGAGAATATTCACTTGTTGTTGTTTGCTTGTATCTTCGCATTGTTATTTAAGACTGCAGTTGATCATTCTCTTGTTGGTACATGTGCATCATGTGCGAACTGCCTCGGTATTGCCTGAAGTCACAAGCTTTATAAGCAAAGATGGAAAGTGGGTAGAAGTGGAATTCAGGACACGCGTTTCGTCCTATTTGGAATTCGTCAGCCAGAGTTACCTGCATCTCAGAGTTGATATTCACTCTGGGACTCGAACACAGTACTATTCGCTTCAAACGCCATCGTGTTATCCACTCAGTTACTAAGTCCTAAAATACTATAAAAACACTATATTTTCTGTACTAAAACGAACATTTGGAATAAAGTGCTACTTTTATAGTTTTGCACCTTTTCTCTCGTGTTCAGTTCGCTGTATAGTTCTAGCTTGGGGGGGGGTTACGAGAATAGCTTAGGAACTGAATATAGCGTCCAATTAGCAAGATTTATCATTATATTGAATTAAAAACTACTCATTTCATATTTACTTACATTTTGGTAATTGTTCAGGTAATATATTATTTAATAGTGTTATAATTTGATTAATGGCGTTTGTATAATTTGATCGTTTTAAATGTTGAATATTTATCCAACAATTTTGAAATTCATGTGAGTTTGTTATTGGTTTATCTGAAAATTAATATATGAAAAAAATATAAGAGATTAAAGTAACTAACTGTTATATCATTTGAATATACGTAATAATTATAAATGCTTCATTCATTTGACAGAAATTCATTTCAATAGTTAAGATCATGAGTCAATTGAAACTAGATCATAATAGAGAATCTGGAAGCACTGGATGACCGTTTCCTCCTATTGTGGGACTCCTCCATGGCAGTGCTCATCCACGATCCTGCCTTGCGAGATTCGAACCCAGGACCTGTCGGTCTCGAGCGCTAGTGCTTAACCTCTAGACCATTTAGCTGGCCGGCATCCGACGATGTTAATGTTTAACTTCAACCAATACATAAGCCACTGTCTATCATTGTGTTCAGTAACTTACTATCTCACAGCTGACCCATTTGAACTCTACTGGACACTGCTTCTCACTAGAACTCCAGGAAATACCTCTTGAAGCCAGTCACTAGTGAGCATATGTCAATTAATATCAGATGGGTTTTGTGGATATTATAGTAATTTCAATGGTTGAGATCATGACTCAATTGAAACCAGATCACCATTGAAAACCTGGAAGCGCTGGAAATTCATCTCCAGATAATCCTTGAACAATTAATGACTATAATAATAATAACAACAACTATTCAATATTGTTAATATTTAGTGTTATAACGTTGACAGGATTAATACATGTCTGTTATTTGCTTCACTGCAGTTAAAATCATATTGATAGGTAATAATTATAGTGTAACTTAGTACAATACTACTTAAATTCTCTACGCTCTAATAATTAAAATCTACAAGCATTTGAGAACTGTTCCTTCCAAGAAGATAGAGGAATATGTCAGTAGTATATATATTTTGATGTTATATGAAAGCTGTTATATTTTTTTTGCATCATTTCTATGTTCATTATTTCTTACATTAAAATGATCAGTGAGCTTAACGATTACTGTATTGACTTCAAGGATATTTACAATTAACAAAATAAAGTATTCTCGTGTTTCTTTTTGAATGATCTTTCGAAAGTATTACTGGAATATGGTAAAGACTAACGAGTCAATAGTGCTAAAAACTTTTATTTGCTACAATAAGTTACTAAATAAAATTATGTACTGATATGGTGTGTACTACTGATGTCGACAGATATAGGTAGTATGTATCATTAATAGAAAGTTAAGTACCTGGCGACAGAAGGTTAAGAAGATCGAAGAAAAGAGAACAAGAACAGAGAATGATTACTGTGGAAACAAAGAAACTATGAAGTCTGAGACCATTGATTGACATTTTGCAAATGAAGTATTTACTACATATATGACGAAATCTCAGCACGGATACAGAAGACTCGACTAGCTTTTGCCAAATTGCGTCACTTGTGGCGTCGGCGAGATATCTGTCTACCAACCAAAGGACGGGTTTACTGCGCAGCAGTTCGTTCCCTCCTACTTTATGGCTGTCAAACATGGCCGGCAACAGTAGACGATATTCGTAGGTTACTAGTAATCGATCATAGGTGTCTTCGGAGCATTGCTCGTATATCCTGTGACCATCGAGTAAGGAACGCAGTTGTTATGAAGTGGGTACTAGGTAAGGATGGCAAATCGATTGATGAAGTAGTGAAACTTCACCAGTTGAGATGGATGGGATACGTGTTAAGTACGCCCAACCACCGACTGCTCTGACGTGCGATGTTTTATGGTTTAGGAGTAGGTTGGAAGAAAGCTAAGGGCGGCCAAACCAAAACATGGCACAAATCGATGAAGTGAATGACAAGTGAACTGAGCCATATTGGTAGATGCAGACTACCTGGTGGGATCCACGGGAAGATAGCAACCGATGGTTAGAGACCTTGAATGACATGTCTCAAAATCGTTTGCAGTGGTGCACGTGCATCCACCCTTTGTGTCCTCCCAAATTTTATTCTTCTGAATTCTTTATGCCCTTTTATATTTTTTCTCTTCGCAAATTTGTTTCGCTGGATTATACTCCGTGAATGATATCTTCAAACCCTAATCTTTCCGATTGCTACTTATACTTTTTGTACCACTACGGAATTTGAATCGACAAGATTGGTGCACCAATCTTTGTTCTTGCTCTGTTTAAGATAATAAGGGGAACTATTTGTATATAAAATCTATTTGAAACTTGAGGATATAAGTCAGGTAAATACCTATCAAGAATAAGGTTTTAACTGTAACTCGCTCCTTAATAGTATTCAATAATACATACACTCAAAGTAATTTATCAACATTCACTTGAATAATCACATTTATTAATTTAATACTTGAGATAAATGTTTAGTCAGTCAGTCGTAAACCATGTAGAACTTGGCACATAGGGGCATCAGTTCAAGCTGCTATATCCTATCAGAACAGCGAAATCGAATTATCAAAACTAATGCCAAGGTAGTAGATATAGTAACAGTGTCCGCTGTTATAGAAAAGACTAAACATAAACAATATATATATTTGAGGAGTAAAAAAGAATAAGATAAGTTTGAGACTAAAGTCTTCAGGGTAAACAAAGCATGAATGCATTTGCTCAATTGTGGTCAATTCTAAACTGTATCTTTCAATGAGTTTATAGGCATCAATGCCACGGTTAAACTTGATAGTTTCAAATAAATTGAGCATTAGGTAGAAAGTTAATAATAAACATACTTTTGTTATATCCTAATGAATAGAAAAATTGTATTTCTGACGTTTTGTGACTCAGTGTAAGCTACTCCTTTCATTATCTCCAACCATCGGTTACAATAGTCGCGCTCACCTCAATCAGTTAACTTTCATCCACTAACATGAATCAGTCCAACAGTCAATCCCTTCATGTACTGAAACCACATTATATAAATGTATATAAACATAACTGGGTAATATGTTGAAACGTTAAAAATATTTTACTGTTTGAGAACATTGTTGTTTGTTTATCTTAGTATAATTCATAAACTATACAAAATTTTGAGATGTTGGAGAAGATTTGTAGCTGAATTAGATGATTTTAGTAGTTTTGTTCTCTGAACTGGATGGTTTGATCGTAGAGCTTTCATCGTTCTTCTGAACGACATCATCAGCACAAACTTCAGGTAGAAGTTTTCTAGCTGACCATCCAGATCAGAGAAGAAAACTCCACCAAAAACTATATAAAATTAAAAGTAATTGGTAACAATTATCTTACCTAACTTCCATCTATTATCAGTAGTCGAATTTATGCTACTTGTATTAACAATCTTTGTACCTTCTTTATTGATAAGATTCACTTCTTCCCATTCATTATCAATTGATTTAGTCATAATATTTGCATTATTTGATTGAAATTTAGAGAAATCATTTAGATTAGTAGAAATATGACATGATGGATTCATATTATTACATTGTATAGATAAGAGTTTATCATAACTTTCATCATTCTCTTCTTCTGCTTCCACTTCTAATATTTCAGTATTGTTATTGTCGTTGTTGTTGTCATTGTCATCATCGTCATCATCATTAATATTGTCATCATGAATATGATCTTCTTTTTCACTGTCAACATTTGGCAATTCAATTATTTCAAGATCTGATGTAGTACTGATTGTACTAGTAGTTATTACTGTTTGAGATTTATTAATTAGTATATCAGTGTTCATGTTCTGTTTTATTAAATAAGAGAAAAAATATAAGTGATTTAATAAGATTATTCTTAAAATCAATTAAATTTTAAGGATAGATTTGTATAGAATAACTTCTGATTGCATACAACTTAATTAATGATAAGATAAAGGAAATTGAGATGGTGGAGAAGATTTGTAGCTCAAATGGATGATTTTGATGGAGTTTTGTTCTCTGAGCTGGATGGTTTGGTTGTGGAGATTTCATCGTTCTTCTGAACGATATCATCATCAGCACAAACTTCAGATAGAAGTCAAGTGTTCGAATTTCTCCATATGCGTTTCACAGCTTATTTTGTACACCTCAACTTCATCAAATATACGAACCGTACGCAGCTTCAGAACGTAAGTCACGCACTGAAATCAACAAAAGGATCGCCCTACCATACATAAAAGGCATATCAGAAACCGCAACGAAACTGTTGAAAACCTTCGGAATAGGTGTAGCACACAAACCGACAAAATCACTACAACCAATCCTATGCAAACCAAAGGATGAAATAACAAACGAAGACAAAACAAACATCATCTACAAACTAAATTGTGCCAACTGCGAAAAACACTACATAGGACAAAGCGGACACCCCCTCCACCTTCGCCTACATGAACATCAATTAGCAGTCAAACGCCATGATACTTCCTCACTTATATCAATACACGTGGACAACTGCGGACACTCATTCGATTGGAAAAATGTGGAAATCTTGGACAGAGGAAATTCCAAAAACACTGGAGAATTTTTAGAAACCTGGCACTCAGGTCAATCAGCAATCAACAAGCACATTGAAATCAATCCAATTTATCAACCAATCAGGAAAATTATGCACAAATATAGGAACAAAAATCAAACCAATGGGAGACACAACCAAAACAAAGGAGTAGAAAATGACAAATTTAAGGTCAATAAGAACCAACCAACATCGAGGTGTACAGAACAAGCTGTGAAACGCATATGGAGAAATTCGAGCACTTCACTTCTATCTGAAGTTTGTGCTGATGATGTCGTTCAGAAGAACGATGAAAGCTCCACGACCAAACCATCCAGCTCAGAGAACAAAACTCCACCGTAAAGGAAGTTGCTTTATGATAACGAACTAGAATAGATGTTAATTATAGTGTTGGCATTGAAATATTTATCGCGGTTGTTATTATATGATTCAATGTCATTCAATTAAAACAAGATGAAGTTAAGCGTTTACTGTGATAGCTGAATATCCTGGATCCAATTCCTGATGTGGTTGTATATACCCACTGTTGAGGAGTACCGTACTAGGACGAAACAGCTGTTTAGTATTTCGTAGTTGTCGTTCATTATCTTATTAGAGTCAGACAAAAATGTCAATTATAAAAGTGAATACCCTTCACAAACCCTCCATGTCAATGAAACTAGATAAGTTTTATTTCCTGACATTTGTTTACACCGATTATCACGACGTGTAATGTTAATCGGTGTTGGGGATGGTTGGAAGAAAGTTAGGGGCGGCCAAACCAAAACGTGACATCAGTCCACAAAGTCACTGAATTCTGGTCTGAGCCATGTTGGCGGTAGATGTAGACTACTTGGTTGGGGTCTGCGTGACTCTCGTAACCAATGGTTGGAAACTCTTGATGACATGGCTCAGAATCGATCACAATGTCATATGTGTATACACTCTCTGTATTACCTTAAACTACGAGATTAAAATCGCCTTATATCTTTCTTTCTACGAAATAATTCTTTCTTCCTGTACTATATCTTTATATGCAATCTTTCTTTTATATATTACCACCATTGACTTAAATACTCCTATGAATCCGGTGTTCATCTTGCTGTGCTAACGCGGTATGGTAACTTGGACTGATGCATATATGTGCCTGGTCCTACTTTGTAGCTGACTGACTGACTTTGTTTACAACTTGCATTACTTCCAACATAATACGCTGCTTTCAAGGACTGAGACCATATAAAGTATTCTTTGATTAATTTATCTTAGATCAGCATTGACAAACAAATAAGGATAAATTAATATTAACGTCGTTTAGCTTACTTAGATAAATATACTTCAATAATAACAAAGTGGATACAGATTATTAAAAGTGGAAATAAGGCAAAATGAACATAGACTGTTAGAAGAAAAAAACGACTGGGAAGATTAAGAAATTAATAAAATATTTAAGATACTATGGAATGGGTTGGATTTCTTTTACTCTAATCACTTTTGAACTACAATGAATGAAGTTTACAACTAACGAATTCCATAGTCAGACAGACTTTTATTATAAATCGTCAACTTACCAATATGGTTAATTCTGATAATCAATGAATATATAGATTGTTTTTATCGTTCATCATTCAGTATTTCCTAATTTTAAACTTCCTCCGACCAGTAAAGTATCCTGATTTAGGTAAAGCTCAAAAATGTATAACCTAATTGTTCAAATACTTCACTAAGCTTCAAATAACATGACTCAATGAAAACCAAGTAGAGTCCATGTATCGTTGCTGAAATTTTGTCACGAAACTTTTAGTGATCTGACCTCACATAATCAGACCACAGAAAAAAGATGTTGAAGTTCTTCTACACTAAGAAGCATTTTTAAACTCATGAGTTTAAAGAGGAAAATAGCAATCTACACTTTTAAAGTAGACTAAATCTAACAAACTTTTCTTGACAATACAACTCATAGAACACATTTTTAAATTGGATTTGCTAAATGTATAACATAAAACATACTTTTGCACAAAATCAATGAACTGTACTGTTGAAAAGTCACAAAATGAGCATAATGTATGACATACAATATGATTTTGTGCTTGATACTATTCTACCACTGGATAACTAGTTACTTGATACAACATTATCCTACATTTAGGATCAATACGAATCGACATTTAATTATAAGGCACATTGCTATACTGGGTACTCCATCAGTACTCAGGATCTCTGTATAACGAATGATTATACTAAGACACTAAAAGTTAAACCAACGACTGAGAACCAGTTCAGACTAGACTATATTTTATGGATATACATTACGAGTAATCAACAGTGAAATAACATTACAGTATTACATAATCACATATATTTAGCATAGCTGTACGTGTCTATCTTCTTTCACTATCTAATAACACCTTGCTTTCACCGACAGATCAGTAAAAGATGCCCAAAACCACAATAATCTATCAAGATTCCCAATAATCACTTCAACATAAATGATTAAGTTATTATATAAAAAGAAACTTACATCCGTCTGTACTAAGGTATTCTGCATTTTCTTCAATTCTTCAATAATTCTATTATTATTTGGACTTAAATTATATGCTTTCTGTAAGTCTTTTAAACATCCTGAATGATCACCTAGAAACTGGAAAATTCAATAAATGATTAAAGAAAAAAACATAACAGTAAAATCAATACTCGATATCACACAATGTTCATGTTTTTAAATCAATTAAAAAGAGGTAATCATCTAGAAAACATACTATAATTCAACACCTTTTTTTCCAAAGTTTTACTTGTAATTGGATTATATTTTTTTTAAAAAGGTGAGACTATAATTTATGGACGACCTTTCAGTGACGCTAAAGTGACGTTGAGAGTGCTCACTTAATAACTAGGACCAAATGAAGGTTATAAACTAGGGTGAGGAATTCGAATTCCAATTTACAGTTGATGATTAAGGTTAGGAACTAGATTTTGGGTTTTCATCACGAACTGACATCAGCTATAATGTCAAAACTCGATTTATCCAAATGGATGAGTGAATTCCCCACCAAAATCCGAGACCTGTTTATACGTGATTGGTTCGTTCATAAATTATAGTCTTGTCGTGAAAAAAGTATCGTTTTCAATTAGATGCTTATCAGGCTTTACTCTAGTATACAATAATATTTATGTTATCATTGATTTATAATCTGCCTTGATTGGTTTAACAATTTCGTATATGGATATAAATATTTTTTGTATATCAGATTAAATCCTAATGAGGCTAGTTGAAAACATGTTTGCTTATATATATTAATCTAATTCACAATATGGGAATTAAATATAATACGGATAGTGATATTGTCCGGGCAGTTCAATTTTAAGTGAATGGGAACAGGCTTTAAATTTTCAATTTAATGATTCAAGGCAAAATGAATAATCTTTTTTGATAACAGTCTTATCCAAATAATTATTTGTTACAGTAAACCGTTTAGCAGTCATATTAACGACAATGCTCATTTGTGTTAATAATTTCAATGGTTGAGATCATGAGTTAATTGAAGCTAGATCACCGTGAAAGACCTAGAAGCACTGGACGGCCGTTTCGTCCCATTATGGGACTCCTCAGGAATAATGATTATTGTTTATCTTCAATGAGTTCCTATCTCTCAACAGACGTGGTTCAACTCCACTGGCAACGACTTCTCTCTGGAGTTGAACCAGGTCTGTTGTGAGATAGGAACTCACTGATGACGATGGTGTACCGTAGCGCAACTTCGTGGATTGGTTGAAGTCAGACACCGTTAGATGCCGGCCAGCTCAGTGGTCTAGTTGGTTAAGCACCTGGCGCGAGACTTATAGGTCCTGGGTTCGAATCTCGCGGGGGCGGGGTCGTGGATGAGCACTGCTGAGGAGTCTCACACTAGGACGAAACGGCAGTCCAGTGCTTCTAGGTTTTCCATGGTGGTCTATCTTCAATTGACTCATGACTTCAACCAGTGAAATTTCTAAAAATCCCCACAAAACCCATTCTGATAATAATAATCACGTGCTCACTAGTAACTGACTTCAGGAGGTACTCCTGGAGTTCTAGTGTTAAGTCGTTACTAGTGGAGTTGAACCAGGTCAACTATTTATCATGAATATCATAATGCTGTTTACTTGAACTACTTATACTACTTGAAACAAAATAAGTAGTTAAATGTTGTTAAGCGAATTCCATCATAAGAGACTAAGCATAAACATTGATTACGCATTATAAATATATTTTATTTTCAATAAAAGTATTATTGAGTCCAGTTATATGATCCATCATTTTGGATGTTGAACCTTTAAAGGAATAGAATGATGCAAATACATCTTGAGTTTTAGTACGAAAATAGTTTCTTGGATATGAATTAAATTTAAATTTACATTTGAATGTAACTTGGACTATATTAGCTTAAACGGAAGAAATATTGTTCAAAACATATATATGTGGAAAGTAATGTATATGTATTCAAGAACATTCATATCATGAACTACTGTCAATTAGAGAATTATCGTGAATCAAGAAACATATAACAGTATTTTCGACGTAATATAGGACACCTCAGAAATACATAGTTGTACATTCACACAAGAATGGATCTTACCAGCAATGAGAAATGTTATATAGCATTGATTAGAGATATGATGGGCGAGACTATAATTTATGGACGAACCAATCAGATTTACGATAACAGGTCTTGGATTTTAGCGCGAAGATCTAAATAGCGTTTTGATATTTTAGCTGATGTCAGTTCGTGGTGAAAACCCGAAATCTAAATCCTAACCCTTACTATCAACTGTAAATCATATTCTTTATTCTTCACATTGCTTCATAACTCTCATTTAGCCCCAGTAAGTAGGTGGACATCCTCAAGGTCACTGTAGCGTCGCTCAAAGGTCGTCCGTAAATCATAGGCTCACCATAAGGTACTTCAGTGCTCTATCGTTTTCGATGGTTGACATCAATTCATGACGCAAAATTTTGTTGAGATGGTTGTCTTCTTGACTATGACAATAATAATTCATTTACTAAATCCGTTACTGCACTTGTCACACAGATTTTTGGACCATGCAAGTCCTAAACATATTGAACGTTCAGTTAGATTATCAGAAAGCCAAATGTATGGTCACAGATACCTTTATGTAGTTCACATCACGAACTGACTATAGCTAAATATCCACAGAAAACCAGGAAGCACTAAACAGCTATGTCGTCTTAGTATTTGTTTCAGGCTTAGGAATGAGCGCTTAACTTTCGTACTATTAAGTTGTAATCCACTCATCAATAATTTGAACTTTAAGTATGTCGGGTTGAATCGGTGTTTCCTAGTCCTCAACGGTTGCTTAGCTACAGTTAACCTGTGATGTAAACTACAAAATTCAACAATCTCCACAGTCCTTTTATATTTCTTTATTATTTAAATTAATAAATCGTGTGATTATGCAAGTAAAATACCAAACTACAATGTGCCACACTTTACAAATCTCAGTAGGTACCAATCTAGAACATTTTCGAATAACAGATCCAAGAGTTAGTTGAGATTGACAACGAAACAAATCAAAACATAACTAACTATTGTGACTATATAAAGAAAATACTCTAAAATAACTCTTTGATAAATAATGAATAAAATTATACACAATGATTCAGTATTTCATGAAGTCATTGGTTTAAGCTGAGTAGATAGACTTAGGCAAACTGGTTTAGTTCTACATGATAATCGTAATTATTAAGCAGAAACATTGGATGGGAATCGTTCAGAATCGGTTACAATAGAGCAAACATATTTAGTCATTTTGTACCTTTAAATTTGGAGTTCCGGTATGTAATCCTTTCAATGAATGTTTTTAAACAATAATCTCAGTTTTCAATTTAATTTACATTATTCTGCTCTTGATCATTTTTCAAAATTATCTTGTTGTACTTTTGTAGTATAGGGACTTGAATAAACGTACATACCTGATGTGTTCTACATTGATCATAACTGATCAAATGACTGATAAAAGAATAGCTTTTCAGTTTTTAGGTTTTTATCTCTTTTATCTCATCTTAATAGAATTACTAAACAAATCATAGTAGGTATTTATGTAACCATAAGAAGAGATGAATGATGCTAGTAGTAGAATCAAGGACAAGCGTTTCTTCCTACTTGAGATTCGTCAGATAGATTGACTTGGATTCAAAAGTTGATATGAACTTCAGAATTCAAAAGTAGTACCGTTAACTTCAAACACCATCACGCTATTCACTTAGCTACTAGATCCAAATACTCATTGCCTTGAATAGAAGGGTGAATTCTGCGTATAGTGTTTTTGGACCTAATGGTAATATTGTGGGAACCTGTACATCTGCTTAAAGAAACTGATCAACTTCAGTTCTATATATCAATCAGAAGATTCAAATAATCAATACAAATGAATACAAAAATCAATAATACATACCTTCAATGCTAATGCTCTACGATACAATGCAATTGGACAATTAGATTCAATCGATAAAGCTGATGTACAATCATTACATGCTAATTGATATTCATTCAATTGTAAATAAATCAATGAACGATTACGATAAATAACAGCTAAACGTTTGTCATTAGTTAAATTGTACTTTAAACAAAGTTCAATACATTTATTGAAATAAATTAAAGCCAATTTCATATTTCCCTAGTAATTAAATAATAATAATAATAAAGACAATGAATAGATATATGTCATAATAGAAGAAATGTTGTATGATGTTATGAATGCATAGTTAGTGGCTTGAATTGATGCAATTCATGTAGCTTAAAAATTTAGATTCCAATTATTGACACAATGTCTAAATGAATGAATATGAAAATATACAAGTTGCTTCATTAGTAGAACTGTGTCATTCTATACAGTGAAAATTATATATATATATATTCGAAAGTATATTGCAAGTACCATTTTTCAACTGATGTGAAATTCAAGTTCAGAGTTTCATGTGAACTAATTACAACAAACTTTTCAATGTATCATGTCTTACATATAATTTACTTTCAAGATTAATTACAATGCTTATTATCATTCGATTTGTGTGAGAGCTGGGATACTACCCGGGTACCTAGACCGAAACAGATCTTGTTGAAATTATGAGTCAATTGAAGCTAGACCAACATGGAAAACCTGCAAGCACTGGACGGCCGTTTCGTCTAGTGAAATTTCTAAAAATCTTCACAAAACCCATTGTGACAATAATAATCACCTGCTCACTAGTGACTGACTTCAGTAGACCCTTCTGGAGTTCTAGTAAGAAGTCGTTACCAGTGGCGTTCAACCAGGTCAGTTGTGAGATATCAACTCACTGAAGACAATGGTGTACGGTGGTGCAACTTCGTGGATTGGTTGAGGTTAGATATTAACACTGTTGGATGCCGGCTGACTCAGTGGTATAGTTGGTTAAGCGCCTGGCGCGAGACTGATAGATCCTGGGTTCGAATCTCGCGGGGGGCGGGCGGTATCGTGGGTGCGCACTGCTGAGGAGTCCCATACTGGGACGGAACGACCGTCCAGTGCTTCCAGGCTTTCCACGGCGGTCTAGCTTCAATGGACTCATGATTTCAACCAGTGAAATAAATAATATATTTGTAATATCCAATAAGTAGAAAAATTAGATTTTCTGACGTTTCGTGACTTAGTGTAAACCACTTCTTCAGAGAATAAATAACCAAATTAAAATTAATCCAAGTTCAGTGAGTTATAATAATAGTTCTAATGAAATGCCATGGATTGGTACTGCAGTTTTACTATGCCGTCATGGCACAACAGAAGAACTCTAAAGAATCTTAAAACATCACAGAATTAAAGTATGTTACAAAACAACGAACACCCTTCGAAATACTTTAGTTCGCTTAAAAGAAAAAAATCCCATTCATGTCAACACAGAACTGCGTCTACAAATTAGGTTGTGTCGATTGTGATGCCTATTATATTGGAGAGTCATCTCGCGAAATCTTGACTCATGCCAAAGAACATATTAGGTACACGAAGAAACCTCCTAATAATTCCATAGAACTGGATAGACTTCAAATTAAATCTGCAATAGCTGTTCATGTCATTTTCAACGACCACCAAATTGATTTCAAAAATATCAAAATATTACAAAAAGGTTTTTCCAACTATAAAGAAAGAGAGTAGCTGAAGCGTTCCATATAATGCTTAATCGTACTTCTCTCAATAGAAAAGAAGGCTTACCATACATCCTACTTGGACTATCTATCCGAGCCGCCTAGTCTGATATTATTTAGAATTCACACTATTAACTTACAAATTAAACTCTATCCTTTCTACCATAAAGGTTACACATTTTTCATCCTCAACAGTGCACGCTTACATATACACAAATTTAGATACATGTCGCTTATGAATCACTTTGACCGAAACGGCATGATACTGATTTATTCAGACTTGTTTTTTGATTGATCACACAATATTCTTGCATTGTTCTTTTGTACTATTAAAATTTGAATTAATTTTAATTTGGTTATTTTATTCTCTGAAGAAGTGACTTACACCAAGTCAAGAAACGTCAGAAAATCTAATTTTTCTACTTATTGAGATATTACAAATATACTATTTTTATTTATAACAATTTAACTGATGCTCAATTTATTTGAAATGATCAAATCAAACCTTGGTAATGATACCTACGAAACAGATAAATAAATACCTTTTTAAATGATTCATTTCCTTTTTGTTTTAACTCTTCATAATCAACGATAGAATATGTACTCTTAGAATTCTGAAAAAAAAGAAGAATAAAGAGGAAATTTTAAAATAATGATAATATTACCTAATATTATCATTTATTATTCTAGAGAAACATTTAAGCATTTGAGATCATGAGTCAATTGAAGCTAGACAACCATGGGAAACCTGGGAGCACTGAAAGGCCAACTCGTCCTATTGTGAGACTCCTCAGAAGTGCGCATCCATGACCCCGCCTTTCGGGATTCGGACCCAGGATCTATCAGTCTCGCTCCAGGCGCTTAACCAACTATACCACTGAGCCAGCCGGCATCCAACGGTGTTAATGTCTAACTTCAACCAATCCACGAAATTGAGCGACACATCCACTATTGTGAGTTACTATCTCACAACTGACCCAGTTGAACTCCACTGGACAATGCTTCTCACTAGAACTCCAGGATATATATCTTGAAGCCAGTCACTAGTGAGCATACGTTGATTAGTATAAGCCTGCTGAGGAGTCCCACAATGGGACGAAACGGCCGTCCAGTGCTTCCAGGTTTTCCATGGTGGTTTAGCTTTAATTGATTCATGATCTCAACTGTTGAAATTACTACAATCTTCACAAAACCCCTTCTGATACTAAACATTTAAGCATTAAGTAAGTAATAAAAAATGTTCATGATTTGAATGAATACAGTGGTCTTAAGTGGTGTTAGAGGTATGAGAACAGTTATCAATTCCCGGTTACCCTCACCATGGAAGAGTTCTTCTGGAGATACGTGAAAAGAAAATTAGGTTATAGGTGGTCTTAGTGACCTGAAAGCATGACCGCAATGCTCAAGAGACAACTGCCTGATCCCACGTTGTAGCTGACTAATTGATTGACTAATGATCGGAATGGTTAACTGGTTTCGACTTCTAGTATAACTAAGACCGATAATTAACTAAATGATTTTTTAAAAGAATTGAGTACATATTTCCTCTTGAATCTATGAAATCAAATATTTATTTAACTCATTAAAATGAATACTGACCATGAAGGCGTAAACTTACTTTCATTCATTTGGTAAAATATCTACCTAGATATTTTGGTAGTGTTATTCTTCCCTGTAAATTTTCTATTATAATACAGAATAATAAATTGAAATGGAAGAGATTTATAGCTTATGTGGATGATTAAAGGTGGTGTTTTGTTCTCTGAGCTGAATAGTTTGATCATTTTTGTTGATGATATTGTTCAGAAGAACAATGAAAGCTCCACGACAAAACTATCTAGCGCAATGAACAAAACTCTACCTAAAATAATAAATTTTTACTAGATGGCTTCGATCTTAGATTATGATATTATTATGTAATCGGGGGGGGGAAATTAATCAATGAAATAGATATTTTTCATAACAAAACTTTCTAATCCTTCATAATAATACATATTCATAAAATTATGAAACAGTTAAACGTGATATCATTATGGGGTTGTGGAGATTATTGAGTTTTTGATTGAGTTCATCAATCGATGAATGTCAGACCACGATTGACCGCCTTTTCCCATTAATGGACTCCTTAGCAATGCACATTCACGATCCCACACATGGGATTCGAACTCAAGACTATCTGTATCGCATGTGAACGCTTAATCTCTAGACTAATAAGCCGGCATTCAACGGTGTTATTATCTAGCTTCAAACAATCCACGAAATCATTTGACCATCTTTCATTGTCTTCGTTCGGTAACTGACTCACACCCGACAGGAATTCTTGGTTTTTGACATATAAAACAGTATTCATCATTCATTTGTAAGTTATATACTTTATATTGAATGAAGTTAAATAAAGTATTTTCGTTACATAAACCGTACTACATGACAACTTATTTGCTTAATACAGTTAAATAATCTCAAATTTCACATAGTGATTAATCTAGAATATTAACTGAATAAAAATGAGAAGGCCTTCTACTTACAATGGACACTTCATCATGTTCTAAATGGTCATTAACTTCAGATTGACAATATATATCTCCATTATCAAATGTAGTTATTATATCTTCATTATTATTTGTATCAACTTTGGAGTCATAACGAACATTTAAGCTAGATTCTTGTTTATTAATATCAATAGTAGATTTGTCAGTCAATTGAATATTATCATTTTTGTTCATCTCAATGGTGAAATAATGTTTTCACAATCAATATCATTATGATGTTGAATTTGATCTAGATGATTTTTTGAAAGCTCCATTTTATTAGTATTCACTGTCACAATTTCTTGTCCTTGTATGTGTTGTTGTTGTTGTTCCTGCTGCTGATATTCATTTTCTTCGACATTTTCATCACTCTCATCATCATCATCATCCGAAGAAGAATCACCGACATCAGTTATGATCATACGTCTAGATCCTTTCAAATGGGGTTCTTGACGTTTTGATATTGCAATTTTCACATTTCGTAATAAATTCTATGATTAAAAAAACTAATGTATCAATTCAAATCTCATTAGAAATAAGTAATTTGATGTTAGACCACCATTCGAAACCTGGAAGTACTGGACGGCCGTTTCACCCTAGTATGGGACTACTCAGCAGTGCACACCCACGATCCTACACGTGGGATTCGAACCCAGGACATTCGGTTTCTCTTGGGAATGCTTAATCTGTAGACCACTGGGCACTTCATCATTTTCTAAATGTTCCTTAACTTCAGATTGACAATACATATCTCCTTTATCAAATGTAGTTAATATATCTTCAAAACTCATTAGAAATATGTAATTTGACTATATCAACTTTAGTAGTATATAGAGATAACTTGATATACACTTAGATAATGAATAATTTTAAATGTAAAATAAAATAAGCGACTTGTTGCCAATCAAGAAAAGCTCGAATAGTTAAAACAGACTGAACAAACCATTATCTTGGATCATGGCTTGTTAGCGAAATTCAAAAACAGTATGCATCGTCCTGTACATAAATTGCTAGCTTGTTGAATCCGTATATTATTATTATTATTATTATTATTATTAACCTTTACAATGAAATTTAAATCTAGTACTTATCATTTCAAATGCAAAAGTGTTTCACATTAGGCACTGGACTTGATCAATCAATAGAATTATTCCCAATTTTCACTTAAAAACAATTCAACTAACTTGAGCTTTAAAATTTGTTGGATCTTGATCGGTAAGTCTATTTAAATCATTTTCAGCTTGTTCTAAATTATCTAATTCGAAATTTGCTTGACTTCGTCTAAACAATGCTGGAAGAAAAAAAACAGAAATCAATTAATAAGAAGAAGTTGAAAAGGATTATGAGAAGTCTTTATGTAATATGAAGGCAGTTAGCACCTGAGTATAGAGCTTTGAGACATATCTGTTTGATGAGCTAGTGATAATATACCGCCATTTGAACAGAATTCAACTAGTCACATGTAAGTAATGTATAGCCTAGAACATATGCATTTTCTGTTAAACCATTTCTATACTTACAAATATCTTTGGTGGTTGGGCATATTTCATGCATGTCATAACCAACAAAGTCAATGTAGATTTAATTAATGAATCAAGTAATTTACCATTTTTACCCTAGATCTAACTTCAACCCTGCTAACAGGATGATCCTAGCATACTCGAGCGATGCTAAAATGCATACAAAATCAAATACTAGTAATCTATAAATATTCTCTAGTCTAAGAGCTATTGGGAGGGAAGCATGAGATACAGTAGACAGACAAGAAGCAGCTGGACAATCTAGACTTCACAGATGATCTGGTCCTTCTATTGCACACCCAACAAAAAAATGAAGTAGAAGACGACCAGTGTAGAAGCAGAATCAGCAGCAGTAGCTCTCAACATACACAAAGGGAAAAGCAAGATTCTCCAATATAACACAACATGCACCAATCCAATCACACTTGACGCAGAATCTCTGGAACATGTACAAACATTTATATATCTGAGAAGCACCATTGATCAACATGGTGGGTCTGATGTAGATGTGAATGCGAGGATCACTAAAGCAAGAGCAGCATATCTACAACTGAAGAACATCTGCAACTCAAAACAACTGTCTGTCAACCAACACCAAGGTCAGAATTTTCAATACAAATGTCAAAACACTTCTACTGTATAGGATGGAAACCTGGAGAACTACGAAAGCCATCATCCAGAAGATGCAAGTGTTTATTAACAGTTATCTATGCAAAATACTTCGGATTCGTTGGTCAGATTCCAGCGGAGGAAGAAATCAGGAAGAATCGCTGGAAGTGGATAGGACACATATTGAGGAAAGCACACAACTGCGTCATAAGTCAAGCCATTACCTGGAATCTTCAAGACCAAAGGGAAAGAGGAAGACCAAAGAACAAATTACAGCGTGAAATGGAGACAGACATGAGAATAATGAACAACAATTGGATAGAACAAGAAAGAGAAGACGCAGAACAGAGTGGGTTTGAGAATGCTGGTCGGTGGCCTATGCTCATTTGGGAGTAACAGGTGAAATTCAATTCAATTCAGTTAACAACTATGGGCATAAGTAAATGGAGATAGTTTTCAACTAATAATGGAAGTCAAATTCTACGGATCAAAAAGATTAAAGGTAGACTGTTGAACAATATTCTTCATAAATATATATACAATTACAGATTGAAAGAATATAATTTAAAAATATCATGAAATTAATTGAAGAATTCTTATGTCAGAATGAAATACCAACCAAAATGGAGGCTAAGTTGACTCAGAAAACCCTTTTTTTATCACTTTTAATTAAAATTAACATTTTGTTACTAGGATACATACCTCTATTTCACTTAAACGTTTAAAAGAAAATAAGAAATCATTATTGGCAACATACATATTTTACCATAACGCTTTAAAGATATCAATCATTCTAATATTGGCTACTATCATACATAACTAGTTTGATATATATATATATATATATATATATATATATATATATATATAACGTTAATTACAATAGTTTCCTAGAATACAGAAAGAAACGTAATAATTCAAGATAAGTATCTGTTATAACGGTTGGTGTTCCACGCTTACAGGAATAGGATGTTAATTTATTTTGGACGGATATTTACACCAGATTCCCTCCCAGTGTTTAGGGGAATATATAACTCATCTAACACCTATCAGACAATCTACATGTCTAAGCGGTGTTGGAGATGGTTGGAAGAAAGTTAGGGGTGGCCAAACCAAAACGTGGCATCAGTGCTTGAAGACATTAACCTCTAGTCTGAGCCATGTTGCGAGATGCAGACTACTTGGTTGGGGTTCGCGTGATTATAGTAACCAATGGTTGGAAACTCTCGGTGACATGGCTCAGAATCGATCACAAAGTGTTGGGGACGTTAGATCCCTAAAACTCATATTTTGTAATTTTATCTTTGTGGAGCTTGTATGCAGATGTATACTTGGGCATTTCTTACCGCCCACGCACATAGTCGATTGACGAACTTATCGATTGAATGTTTTAAAACTTACATGGTAATATCGATCATATACACTTTGTATAAATACGCTTGATTTGTGTGCTTGAGGGACCTGGTATCTTCTGCTTGTCTGTAGAATACACTTTCTACATCGTACCAAGACTTCTGGATTGAGTTAACCGAGTCGGGGACATTAAACCAGTATAGCCTATCCAGTCTCTGAATCCTTGATTCTTCGTTCCGTTCCGAGTAAGACGAATCACTAGTAGCATTCAAGTTAACGAACATAACACAAAGGCGTCGGTGTATACACTCTCTGTCTTCCCTTAAACTATGAGATTAAAATCGCTTCATATCTTTCTTTCTACCAACTAACTCTTTCTTCCTGTACTATATCTTTATATGCAATCTTTCTTTTATATATTACAACCATTGGATTAACTAATTCTATGAATCCGGTGTTCATCTTGTTGTGTTAATGAGCTACGGAGACTTGGACCGATGCATATATGTGCCTGGTCCTACATTGTAACTGACTGACTAAGCAAACAACTAATCATTATCATTGTCGCCCACACATCAGTATCAAAATAAAGAATTATGTTAGAATTAATTTTGTTACTGAAATTATTTTGATAGTAATTATAAGTAAATAATTTCGTTTGGATAAATGAAGATAATCATTGTTATTTCAAAGGAATTTGGGTTGTTTTCTAATAGAAAAACAATATTATTATTATACATACCTTTTTTTGATGGAGTTTTGTTCCTTGAACTGGATGGTTTGATCATGAATCTTTTATTGTTCTTCTGAACAACCTTATCAACACAAAAAACCAAACTATACAGCTCAGAGAACAAAACTCTATCAATATCATCCACGTAAACTACAAATCTTTTCTACCATTATACATACCTTTTAAATTATCTGGTTCAGTTTTTAAAACTTTAGTACAATCATTCACTGCTTGTTTCCACTGTTTTTGTCGTAAATCTGATCAAATAAAAAAAGATTGTTTACAGAATGTAAAAAGTTGAATGATAAATGAAAGTGGAATTTCGAATTAAAATTTATTAAGTCAGTGAGCAACAACGTAGAGCTTCGTAAGTACGTACATACATCAGTTCGAGTTGCCATACCACATTAACACACACATACAATTGTCAATTCAAATCCCATAGTGAAAGAGGTAGTAAAGCTTTAAGCAGTAATCGGAAAGATTAGGGTCTGTAATTGTTATTTAAAGAATATAATCCAGTGAAATAAATTTGGAAGGAGGAAAAAGAGACATGAAGAATTCAGAAGACTAGAATTTAGGAGAACACAAAGAGTTGATGCACTTGCACCAGTGTAAACGATTTTGAGCCATATCATTCAAGGTCTCTAACCATCGGTTTCTATCTTCCCACAGATCTCAACCAGGTAGTCTACATCTACCAATATGGCTCAGTCCACTTGTCATTCACTTCATCGATTTGTGCCGTGTATTGTTCTGACCGCCTCTAGCTTTCTTCCAACCTACTCCTACACCACAAAACATCGCACGTCGAGACAGTCGGTGGTCGGGCATACGTAACACGTGTCCCAGCCATCTCAACTGATTGATGAATTTTCACTACTTCATCAATCGATTTGCCATCCTTACCTAGTACCCACTTCATAACAACTGCATTACTTACTCGATGGTCACAGGATATACGAGCAATTCTTCGAAGACACTTATGATAGAATACTAGCAACCTGCGAATATCGTCTACTGTTGCCGGCCATGTTTCACAGCCATAAAGTAGGAGGGAACGAACTGCTGCACAGTAAACCCGTACTTTGGTTGATAGACAGACATCTCGCCTACGCCACAAATGACGCAAATTCATTGGATGAATGATAACATGATCAACTTGATACCTGAAGGTCGTAGAATCAATCTGATCTAGGTGGTTCAAAGCTTGTTATTGTTGAAACATCTTACAAACTAAGACAAAATGAAAAATCTTCACTGATTCTTTATTATGTTTTTCATATACTATCTTCTAACATCTACCACTGCATACTATGATGTTGATCTATATAGGTTAATGGCCTATTGTAACTATTTCAATTAAATTCTATCAGTACCATGAACTAGCCAACAGGTGATATCATCTCTACTAATGAATACTTTCAAGAAAACTTAGATCTTCACTAACAAACAAATTGCAAGAATTAAAATAGATCAACCAACCTAACTATCCATATTACTGAAGATACTCGTTGGTTGTTTTTTTTTCTTCAGTCAAAGTAATAAAAAAAAAACAACTCAGTTATATTTTCTACAAAAGTACATAAAAACTTACATATTAAAGCACGATTATTGTAAACAGCATTGGTTTTATGCATAATAAGACTTCGTTTATAATAGTTCATTGCATCAGCATAATCACCTGATTTAAAGGACTAAATTATACAGAAAAAAAAGAGGGGGTTTTTTGAGTAATAATAATCAGAAATAAGTAGATAGGTTAAATGACTTCTTTTTCTTTTCGAAACAATTAATAGTACTTTTTTTTCTAATCAGTATTTTGCATTTACTTCTTTTTTTTTGTTGTTGCCGTAAATTTTCAATCATACAAGGCTTCATCAGTTGATTAGAATGTGACATGATGTTAAGAAAAAGATTTATCCAATCAGAATTAAGATTTCTACATAATGAAGATCAGCTGCAATGACTGAATAATATCAAGGTTAATTACTCCAAATGGAACATAGGCCAACGACCAGCATTCTCAAACCCACTCTGTTCTGCGCCTTCCTTTCTAGTCCTACCCAATTGTTGTTCATTATTCTCATGTCTGTCTCCATTTCACGGTGTAATGTGTTCTTCGGTCTTCCTCTTTTCCTTTGGCCTTGAGGATTCCAGGTAATGGCTTGACTTGTGACGCAGTTGTGTGCTTCCTCAATTTGTGTTCTATCCACTTCCAGCACTTCTTCCTGATTTCTTCCTCCGCTGGAATCTGACAAACGGATACGAAGTATTTTGCGTAGGCGACTGTTAATAAACATCTGTATCTTCTGGATGATGGCTTTCGTAGTTCTCCAGGTTTCTGCCCCATATAGTAGAACTATCTTGATATTAGTAATGAAAGTCCTGACCTTGGTGTTAGTTGACAGACAGTTGTTTGAGTTGCAGATGTTCTTCAGTTGCAGATATGCTGCTCTTGCTTTAGTGATCCTCGCATTCACACCTACATCAGACCCACCATGTTCATCAATGGTGCTGCTCAGAATATAAATGTTTGTACATGTTCCAGAGATTCTGCGTCAAGTGTGATTGGATTGGTGCATGTTGTGTTATATTGGAGAACCTTGTTTTCCCCTTTGTGTATGTTAAGAGCTACTGCTGTTGATTCTGCTTCTACACTGGTCGTCTTCTTCTGCATTTGTTGTTGAGTGTGCAATAGAAGGACCAGATCATCTGCGAAGTCTATATCGTCCAGCTGCATCCTAGCTATCCACCTTAAGCTGCTGGCGGTCCAAAGCCCAGAGAAAGGAGGGTTAGGCATGAGGTTAGCGACACCATTCCTTAAAAAACCAACTCGCTAAAAAAACACTAACCAGAAAATATAATTTAAACCATTTTATATATGAAGGTGATGGACCTTAACTGTGCTATAGTTGAGATCCATTTTCTTTTACTGCAAACTATTCAAGACATGTAATAGTTGCATCTTTTTTTCTTCTCTTACATCGAAAGACCATTTCCTCAGTGCAAACGACATTGAAATAAAAGTGATTTTGTTTGGTTGTAATATTTGTAGAAATCAGTGTAAGTTATTCGAATGATTTTTTCTCTCAAACTGTTGTTATTTGAGATATAGTCGAAAACCAGAGAGTATCAAAGAATCGTTTTGCTCTAACATGGAATTTTTCAGTGATGATTATCATTCTCAGGCATAGTAACCTAAATCTTCAGGTCTATCAATCAGTGTATTTTTATTATACCACTGAGCTGAAATCCATCTGTTCACATTTTCAATTTCAGTCAGTCCATCAGATAATGAGATAGTCATTCATTCGATATCAACTTATTATTCTAAACACAACGAATGCTAAAGAAGACTTCAAAGTCTTGATTACAATCCACGATTAAGCTTATGGTTCTATACTACTCAGGAATATCATTCAGCAATAAAACACAGCTGTCCAGTGTTATCTCAGCTGATGTCAATCTGGACTGAAAATCACCTTCAGAACCTTTTTCTTCAGGAAGATAGTTTTCTTTTCAAAATAAGCACAGTGAATGGAAATGTTTATACTTTGCTTAAAATGGTTTTCAAGCACTAGTATGTGTATTTCGAATATACAAACAGTTTGTTGCCAAAAATTACTCTCAATTTAAAAGAGATTATTATGCAAGGAGATATTGGACTATGTAGCTAAACTGTATTTGAAATGCAACTTTGTTCGATCGTTTTTACACTTTTAATTTTAAGATATAAACGATAAAATGTCATGAGTTTGTTATGATAGGGGTACCCGAGATCTGATACTGATACACTACATGCTAAACATTAACCCCCTGAATGGCTACTTCAGCCAGAAGACAAGAGTAGAATGGGAAATCTATTGGGCTACCGAATGACATAAACATATATATCTATATCTATCTGTCTATCTATCTATCTATCTATCTATATCTATATATATATATATATATATATATATATATATCCCTTAGAAATTAAATTCATTTCTCAACCAATGATATGCGTCTGTCCCTTAGGTCGTTTCCGATTGTCATCAAGTGACCTTAAAAGTTGATTATTTCAAACAAACTGACTCACGACTTTCACATCTATTTAGTGGCTCGATATCTGACTTCAGATTAGAAGGTTGCGTGTTCGAATCACGTCGGGTTCATCACTTTAGTGACCCGTGATCTGATTCCAGTTAGATTGTATGAATGATTGTTGTCGAAATGTACATCTTGACTATCCTTGTATATAATTATCGACTTCATCTGCATTGGTAAATAACGGAATCATATAAGTCAAATACGTGAAACAATTGCAAATACGTATATAATCGTTGATCCAGACAAAAGATCGGAGTTGGCTCATACACCTTATTTACTATACGTCAATTCTCTTGGCTCTCTTGTCTTTGCTTCTCCGATCCTTCGTCTGGATCAACGATTATATTAAATATCCATATTTGAAATTGTTTCACGTATTTGACTTATATAATTCCGTTATTTACCAATGCAGATGAAGTCGATAATTATATACAAGGATAGTCAAGATATATATTTCTACAACAATCATTCATACAATCTAACTGGAATCAGATCTCGGATCACTACACACATTTACATATTTCGAAAATTTATTAAATAAATAATACCGACTATAAACAAAAGGAGACAATCCATTAGCTCACTTCATTCCCTTTTTCTTTTTCTCGTTCAGCTAATTTCTTTCTTGTTTGAATTGGCATATTAACTAGTCTTAATTTCAATTCTTTATAATCAAGTTTCTTAATCCATAGGTTTCCATTTCTGACAAATTCATTTTATCACCTTTTTCAAATTTATTATTTGGTTGATTATCTTCAGTTAATTCTTTATCCCATTGCTTTGCTAACCTTTAAGTTATAATGACAAATTGTAAACCAAAAAAAAATTCAACAATAATGACTAGTAATGGAATTCAGAATGCAAGTTTTGTTTTATTTGAAACTCATCGTCAGTTGAACTTCTACCGGGAGATTCATTTGTTGACTTACAATGTGCAAATGACATAGTGCCATTTGGTGAACATCCTGACAAAATGAAGAGTCTTCTCACCACTATAAGCAACAATCCATGCATGTTCGAGATGTGATTCTCCTCCTCGAAATGCAAAATGTTACTTCAGGATCGGGTTGCATCGACACACGAACTAATGATAGGGAGTGAAGTAATTGAGCATGTCGACCACTTCACTCATCTTGGAAGTTTCATCAGCCCTTGTGGTCTGGTGTGTGACGAAATCCCAACACGGATACAGAAGGCTCGACTAGCTTTTGCCAACTTACGTCATTTGTGCTGTAGGCGAGATATCCGTCCGTCTACCAACCAAAGGACGGGTTTATTGTGCAGCAGTTCGTTCCCTCCTACTTTATGGCTGTGAAACATGGCCGGCAATAGTAGACGATATTCGCAGGTTGCTAGTATTCGATCATAGGTGTCTTCGGAACATTGCTCGTATATCCTGTGACCATCGAGTAAGTAATGCAGTTGTTATGAAGTGGGTACTAGGTAAGGATGGCAAATCAATTAATGAAGTGGTGAAACTTTACCAGTTGAGATGGCTGGGACACGTGTTACGTATGCCCGACCACCGACTGTCTCGACGTGCGATGTTTTGTGGTGTAGGAGTAGGTTGGAAGAAAGCTAGAGGCGGTCAGAACAATACACGGCACAAATCGATGAAGTGAATGACAAGTGAACTGTGCCATGTTGGTAGGTGTAGACTAAATGGTTGGGATCCACAGTAAGATAGCACCTGATGGTTAGAGATCTTGAATGACATGACTCAAAATCGTTTACACTGGTGCAGGTGCATCCACTCTTTGTGTTTTCTCAAATTCTAATCTTCTGAATTCTTCATGTCCCTTTTTCTTGTTTCTGAATTTATTTCACTGTATTATACTCTTTGAATAACATCTTCAAACCCTAATCTTTCCGATCGCTGGTTGTACTTTTACTACCTCTACCACTATGGGATTTGAATTGACAATTGTATGTGTGTGTTAATGTGTTATGGTAACTCGAACTGATGTATGTACGTACATACAAAGTTCTACGTTGTTACTAACTGACTGACTGACATAATACTTGTTATTTAAACGTTAATAGGTTATTCATCAAGCTAATTAGTTTAAGATAGCTACTAGCTTGGATAGTAATTAACATCAACAACGGAGAAAACTAAAGGTTTACAAATAAATCTGATATTTTATTACAAACTAATAAATGTAATGAGAAAAAAAAGCAACCCAAAAAGTCTTAAATTAGATGCAACATCAACTCTAATTTGGGTCATTTCGTTTCAAGCCTGATACTTTTTACTCTGTTTATGATAAGTTTTTCTGACAGATCTCTTTAATGCTTATCTTCAAAACATACATGAATTGTATCTGATTACTAAGATCAGTTAATTAACTAATACAATAAAGCTAATAAGTGTTTTTAGCCAAATGGATAAAGTTTTGATGTTTGAAATAGAGTATACTGTATTTGAGTCTTAGTGTGAATAACAATATTGGGATATATCAGATACATCTACCTGACAAGTCTTATAAAGACTGAAAAGTACATCTTGAATTTCACTCCAACCACAGTTCATACATTATGAAGGTAATTATGATGATGTTGAGAATATTACTAATAGCTCAAATCGATTTTCTGAAAAGTAATCTTTGTTTTTATGTGCAATTCAAAAACTCTACGAGAGATTAAATACAGCTCCATAAAATCAATCGTGATATGAAGAAACGTCCTCTCTATGATCCAACACAGAACAATAAAAACACTGTAACAGTATTATATTTTCTATTCTGATTTCAACCTTTTCAATCCTGAACATTCTCATCTTCATATGGCAGTAAAATTAGAATTCTTAAACTTAATAGTAATTAACTAATTATCCACTTATCTGATTGGAATACTAAAGTTTATTTTTCTTCTAATTTTGATTAATTCCTAATCTAGAATAACTGTCATTAAAATCAAAGATGGATAGTGGCTAGAAGTGGAATCCAGGACGCGCGTTTCGTCCTATTTGGGACTATTCAGCTGGATGTATCTGCATCTCAGAGTTGATGTTCACTCTACGACTCGAATCCAGTACCGTTCGCTTCAAACGACATAGCGTTATCCATTTAGCTACTGAGTCCTGATAGCCACTTGATTGTGCAATGGGATGATTCAAGTAAACGATACCAAGTGAATTTGTCATTAAATATCAATTATAAATAATCATTCACAAACTTTCAATTTAGTCAATTTTCGTGATTCTCTTTAGTCTAGAATTTTCAGATGAGATTTACCGATAAAAAGCTATTTATTATATGAATGTCTACAGTATTGAACTCAACTTCGAATTAAAATGAATAGATTGTCTAATATTCGTTAGTTTCCAATAGATTTTTTTAAATAATCTCAGTTCATATTTTTTCTAAACAGAATCACTTCTGAATAAATCAAGGATTCTTAAATTAGCAACAGAAATTGAGGAGACGAAAAGCGAATGTCCGGCGCTTTAATCGGGTTGGTGGATGTGGAGGATCCACCTAGGGAGTTAGAAAACCCTGATTCCAAACCAATGGTGCACATGGGCTCCAGGATTTTGAAAGAACAAATGACCTATGAACTAATTATTGGTCACCAGCTACCATGGGACTGAATCTTTTGACGTTGCTTCACTGTCTTATCGATCAGACCTTTAGGTTGAAGGACCGGGGTGCGGCCTCCTAAGAAAATCACCTGCTTCGGTCTGGGCACCCGTGTAGTATCACAGCCCACACACAAATCAAGTGACTTGTGTGGTGCATATATATTTGGTGCCATTTTGTACCAATATTTATATGTTCAAATAAATAAATAAAATAAAGAATCACTAACCAGATGAAACATTCTTTACGTTAAACACTTTAAATTGCAATTGTATATTAGAATGCATATGATGTTACTTATCCCAACCAACGAGTGTATACATATTTTCATGTATTTTTCCATAAATGTTGATTATGAATAGTAGCAGCAGCCTCAGCAGCAGTAGGTTTCAATATACACAAAGGGAAAAGCAAGATTCTCCGATACAACACAGCATGCACCAATACAATCACACTTGACGGAGAAGATTTGAAAAATGTAAAAACCTTTACATATTTTGGCAGCATTGATGAACATGGTGGGTCTGATGCAGATGTGAAAGTGCGGATCGGTTAGGTAAGAGCAACATATCTACAACTGAAGAACATCTGCAACTCAAAACAACTGTCTGTCAACTAACACCAAGGTCAGAACTTTCATTACTAATATCAAGATAGTTCTACTGTATGGGGCAGAAACCTGGAGAACTACGAAAGCCATCATCCAGAAGATACAAGTGTTTATTAACAGTTGTCTATGCAAAATACTTCGTATCCGTTGGTCAGACACTATCAGCAATAACCTACTATGGGAGAGAACAAACCAGATCGAAGCGGGGGAAGAAATCAGGAAGAAGTGCTGGAAGTGAATAGGACACATATTGAAGAAAGCACCCAACTGCGTCACAAGTCAAGCCGTTACCTGGAATCCTCAAGACCAAAGAACACATTACACCGTGAAATGGAGATAGACATGAGAAAAATGAACGAGAACTGGATGGAACTAGAAAAAAGAAGGCCCAGGACAGAGTGGTTTGGAGAATGCTGGTTGGCGGCCTATGTTCCATTAGGAGTAACAGGTGTGAGTAAGTATGAATAGTTAGCAAGGAATAGCAAAGAATCAGAGATTGTTTATCCTAGAATGAGTACATAGATGACTATAGATTTTCATATGGAATCAAATGAATTATTTAATGCTCAATGGGTTATTTCAACAAAACATAAACATATGAAATTTCATATATAGCCTAACTTACTTATCCCATTCACTATAGTCTTTTGGTTTCAAAACTCTTTTGCCAAATGTATAATCTCCTTTTGAATTTAACTAAAATATAAGGAATGGAATAGTGAACATTTGAAAAGTTTACGAATTATGTTCAAATGAACAGAAAACGTCGATGTTTATTTAATGTTTAAATAAATCAGATTATATCTATCCCATCCAAATATCCCTGTTTCAGATAACTCTGGAAGATGTAGAGTCCTTCACATACCTAGGAAGCATCATCCATGAACAAGGAGGTTCAGATGCAGACGTAAAGGCGAGGATCGCCAAAGCAAGGGTCACATTCCTTTAATTGAAGAACATATGGAACTCAAAACAACTTTCAATCAATATCAAAGTGAGAATCTTCAATACGAATGTCAAGGCAGTTCTACTGTACGGAGATGAAACTTGGAGAACTACAACAACCACCATCAAGAAGGTTTAAGTATTTATAAATAGCTGTCTACGCAAGATACTCAACATCGATTGGCCGGATACAATCAGCAACAGCCTTCTGTGGGAGAGAACAAACCACATTCGGGCGGAGGAAGAAATCAGGAAGAATCTCTGGAAGTGGATAGGACACATATTGAGGAAAGCACACAACTGCGTCACAAGTCAAGCCATTACCTGGAATCCTCAAGACCAAAGGAAAAGAGGAAGACCAAAGAACAAATTACACCGTGAAATGGAGACAGACATGAGAATAATGAACAACAATTGAATAGACCTAGAAAGAGAAGGCGCAGGACAGAGTGGGTTTGAGAATGCTGGTCGTCGGCCTATGTTCAATTTGGAGTAACAGGCGTGAATAAGTAATTAATTCACTAGATCAGTATTAAATGTTTAAATATTCACAATATTCTGTTTTGTTCAGCGAACAAAACTTCAAAATCATCCAACTGAGCTACAAATCTACTCCATCATCTCAATATTCACAATATTATATTAAACTAGATAGTTATAAAGAATTCAGGTAAAAACACAAAATACTCTTGGATACAAATACAAGTTATTGTATTATTTTATGAATTGAGAAAGAGAAGTACGTAAAAGTAGAAAAATAAACAAAAAGAAAAACGTAACAATTGTCACGGTTACTAGTAAATAATCTCTTATTAAATAGTTCTGAACTAGTGAAACAAACTAACAAAAAAACCTAGTCATTATTAGACTAGAAAAGTATCTCTCATCAATTGTTTATATCATTAAAGAGTATAAAATCTCGTAATAATTCATGCTTGTACAAATAGTCAAATCTCATATTAGAAGGGGTTTTGTGGATATTATAGTAATGTCAATGGTTGGAATCATGGGTCAATTGAAACTAGACAACCATGGAAACCTGGAAGTAATGAACGGCCAACTCGTCCTATTGTGGGACTCCTCGGCAGTGCGCACGTACGATCTCGACTCGCAAGATGCGAACCTAGGACCTATCAGTCTCGCGCGTGAACGCTTAACCACTAGACCACTGAGCCAGCCGGCATCCAATGGTGTTAATGTCTAACTTCAATTAATCCAAGAAATCGAGCGACAAATCGATCATTGTCTTCAGTGAGTTACTATCTCACAATAGACCTTGTTGAGCTACACTGATCACTGCTTCTCACTGCGTTCGAATCTCGCGAGGTAGGAATCGTGGATGCAGCACTGCTTGAGGAGTCCCATACTAGGACTGAAATGGCCATCCAGTGCTTCCAGGTTTTCCATGATGGTCTAGCTTCAATTGACTCATGATTTCAATGTGTGAAATAAAAATTATAATTTAAAAAGAAAGAACAAACAAAATCAGACGATAAACTATATAAAATGATATTTAGATAAGACATAAAAAATAAATGGATTAATGCCAGTGCAATCACTGTCAAGACATCGCATTTAATCTAATTAACTATAAACTGAGGTTATCATAATAAACAATTAATAAGAAGTTCAAACCACCCACTTAACCACCCCCATATACTCAATTCAATAGTCAATACATTTATGACTGATTCTGAGTTTTTGTCTGATTGGAACTACTTTTTTTATTTAATTAATTCCATTGATACCCAACATAGTGTATCCCAGTAGGTTATGACTAAAAATGTATAACATATATTTCAATACTCTCTATGGATATAAGTTCAAGATCCCATCAAATGATATTTCATCTATTAGAAATAAGTACCCAATTCGGTGATGATTTCTATCCCTTATTGACTTTTTGAACGCATCAGAATACAGTTTAACCTTTTCGTTCGTTTCATATATAAAAAATGATGTGTAATTCATCATTATTATTGATATTGTGAATGTCATTTCATTAGTAGTTGGTGAATAAATCAATTCAGATGGTGGAGAAGATTTGTAGCTCAGGTAGATGATTTTGATGGAGTTTTGTTCTCTGAGCTGGATGGTCTGATCGTGTAATTTCCAAATGTCCTAACGTGAGTGTCCTTTGTAGCTACATCTTTTGGTCTTCTATGATGTGTTGGTATTTACGGATCCTGTAGTGTGCGACTAAATCATCCAGCTCAGAGAGCAAAACTCTATCAAAATAAATCAGTTCATTTCTTCAGTCTTGTTTTCGCTATTGAATTGATTTAGCAGTCTTATTCTACTGCATTATACAGAAGAGAGAAGTATTTTATAGTCATAGCAGTATCAAATAGTAATAATCTCCATTTAGTTTCCGGTCATAATATGGATTTATTGTAGTGAACAGAACACGGGTGGGGACAATCGGATGTATTTAACACAAAATTAGAGGACTCGTCAATAAAATCTAACAATCATGAAGTAAATGTTTGATTTGCAAAATGTCCATCAATTGTCTCATAATGACTTAGACTTGATTGTTCTTGCATTTTCATACAAATTGCATTCTGTTTCGATCCTCTTGTCTCTCTGCTGTCAGACCTTCTGTTCACGACTAACACCATATACTACTTGTAAATATACGTAGCACACACCACAATATTGTTCTTGTTACAGGATATCGTTCTAGCTCTGCTTAATACTCTATGCCAAACTTCAGAATGATCCACTTATCATATAAAAACTGAATTAAGAAAATCTTAGTATTAAAAATTTATTTGATCTGACTCACTTGTGTTGCTAATTGTTTATTATCACTAAATATAATAGATTTTCGAATAGGTGGTAAATCTTCATTGTCATATTTCAAACATTTTTCTTCTAATTCTTCATCATTCATTTCGAATTGTTTTCCTGGAAGTGATTTCTTTTTTGATCTTTTCAATAAATAATAATCAATTTCTGAATTCTGATCATCATCATCAATTTCTTCATTGAACGTCTTTACTTCATTAAGCCAACTCTATATTCGTATGTAATTTATTTGAATAAAAAGTTTGAGAGAATTAGATAACTATGATTTTTTTGATGGTAAAATCTAGATAGTTAGATAACTTTGGATAAATTTAAAGTTACACTGATTGAAATCATGAGTCAATTGAAGCTATACATTTCCTGGAGTTCTAGTGAGAAGCCGTTACCAGTGGAGTTCAACCAGGCCAGTTTTGAGATATCAACTCACTGAAGACAATGGTGTACGGTGGTGCAACTTCGTGGATTGGTTGAAGTTAGACAATAACACCGTTAGATGCCGGCCAGCTCAGTGGTCTAGTTGGTTAAGCACCTGGCGCGAGACTTATAGGTTCTGGGTTCGAATCTCGCGGGAGGCGGAGTCGTGGATGAGCACTGCTGAGGAGTCTCATACTAGGATGAAACGGCCGTTCAGTACTTCCAGGTTTTCCATGGTGGTCTAGCTTCAATTTACTCATGATTTCAATCAGTGAAATTTCTAAAATCTCTACAAAACCCCTCCTGATAAATTTAAAGTTCGTTTTCATTATCAAGTATTACAGGTCAGAGAATCGTTGAAAATCAGAGGATTAAACAAAGCTGGTTTGTTGAAACCTTACAATTTATTTTTTGAACTGTTCGACCATGACTATTCATTGAATTAAACTCAGTAGCTTTAGCTTTTCTGATGAGGTTTATGCTGTTGAATTATGGTATCAAAACCTAATTTCTTTCGCTTTAAACTTTAGTTCTTTAAATATCACAACCTTCATCTAATATTATTGATACGCTATTACAATACTCTTGATATGGTTAACTCTGTAGGTCAATAGGGAATACCAAAATAAAGTTAAACATGGGTCTCATTCCCTGAGTTCTGGCGCTAATGGCAGTTTACACTCTAATCAATATGTAAATATACATCGCATATTTATAAACTTATTCGAAAGAACTTTATTCTTTTGGAAAATATTCAGTTTACTAACGCAAAAAACAAAAACAATTCAAAACTACAAATACATACGGTTAACTGGCTTAATTTTTATTCTAATCCAAAAAAGAAGAGAAAATTAGAGATATTTAAGATGCAAGTGGGATATTCAATGTTCTTTTATGAACAATAAGTAATATTCTAGTATAATGGATGAATTGAATGGTGAGAGATACGCTTTAAAGTATGCATGCTAGTCTCATTGTAGGAAAATAGAAACGAAGCATTGAAATGTATAGTTCTTAGCTATAGTGCTAAGTCATGTTAGTTTCACGAAGAGCATGATATTCTTGAACTCACACAACTAACTTCCAAATGATCAAATTTCTGAGTCCAATTTCACAATCAATTCAAAAATGTTAATCAATAACTAGAATCCAGGTTTTTTTTCTCATATAATTTGTAAATAAATCAAATGTTGACAACACTGAAATACAATAAAACTGTTTACTGACAAAATAGTTTATGATAAGGCAACGTATCATAAATGAGGGAACATATTGCCAGTTGTTGTTTTTTCTCCTATTCATTCAAACAATTTGAATTGGAAAATAAGATAAAGCGTTGTTACACAAACTTCTATTTTGACTATAATTTAATTAATATCAGATGGGTTTTGTGATATTACAGTAATTTCAATGGTTAAGATCATGAGTCAGTTGAAGCTAGACCACCATGGAAAACCTGGAAACACTGGACGACCGTTTCGTCCTATTGTCAATTTCATTACTTGAATTATGTGTTGATGATATTGTCCAGAAAGACAATAAAAGGTTCACAATTTTTGCCATCCAGTTCAAAGAATCTAAAATAAATGAAATTTCTCAATTATCATTACTAGACATTAATACAGGCATGCGAGGTAAAATGAAGTTAAGAACTTCCTGTAGTTATGACTGTATAATACTGATAAAGATATTTCAAATTACATACTTAACTTTGTTTTCATGAGACTATATATGAAAATTAATAGGTTATCTAGATAGAATAAAGGTAAGCCATAAGAAAGAAAAGTAATAATAATATAGTAATTTCAATAGTTGAGATCATGAGTCCATTGAAGCTAGACCACCATAAAAAACCTGGAAGCACTGTACGGCTGTTCCGTCCTGTTGTAGGTCCTGGGTTCGAATCCCCGCGAGGCGGGGTCGTGGATGCGCACTGCTAGGGAGTCCCGCAATAGGAAGAAATGGCCGTCCCGTGTTTCCAGGTTTTCCATGGTTTTCTAGCTTCAACTGACTCATGATCTTAACCATTGAAATTACTATAATTTAATTATTAGATCACCTGAAAATCTTCTTCAATTTGTTGTCTTTCTTCTTTATCCAACTGTGTGATTTTTATTGGTTCTATCGCTTTCCGTAGTACCCGGCTATAAATAAAAAATAACATAATCATGATTCAAAATTTCATTATGAATGAATTTGAGATTCTAAACATTTATCTCTTCTAAATTATTTTCATAGTATACGTTCTAGTAGTATTCAAATTACTTGATGATTATTAATAATGGATAACTAGTCATATTTTGAATTCTACATAACAGGTTGGTTCTTTTACAGTTACGACAATCAAAAAGTATTTATATTGGTATTTCAATCTAAATTTAACCGCATATTTGTATTTATAATAAAATGACTTTTGCATTTCTAATTGCAATAAACAATCATATGATTGAAATTTGATAGTTCTATCAAATTTTTGGTAGAATGTAGGAAATAATAATAAAACGTTGATTCTAAGGTCTTGGATTTTCATGTATCATAACTAGAACTTTCAAGTTTTTTTCGCAAAGTACTTTTGTTACCAAATTGAATATAAAATCTGGTCTTGATAAGAATATTTTGCTTGTCAGTACTAATACTTACTTCAAATGGAAATTGATACTTTTGTGGAATTTATCAAAGATATTGTAAGCTATTGAGTAAGGATTTGAAGACGTTTTTAGCAAGAAAAGTCCCATAAACAAAGGTTAATAAAGTAATCTAGCCACTGGTAGAAATACTAAAATATAAAATATTCTTTATCATTTTGTATGACGGTTTTTCATTAAAAAATTATTCCTTAATATTTACCATGCAATGCTAGTAGAATTTTCTAATTAACATTCTTCGTGTAGTTACTTAGTGGTAATTACATTTCTATACTGAAAACAGTCATATTCAAAACATCAACTTATGATACATATATACCTATATTCATTGTGTTTACATGAGTAAATTAATAGGCAGATTCTTATACGACATTTATTGTCTATTGGGGAACAATAATAGTAATAGTATTCAAAACTAAAAGTGCTTGATTACTCTTAATCCAACTACTAAATCCCATCTGGCTCTAACTAAATATCCATTTTTGCCGTTTGTGTATGCTGCAATTCAAGAACAAAAAGTCACTTATATTTTACCAAAACAGTTATGTAGGCTTTGTTGCACAAATATGAGTCGTTTGCAACTTAATGATATCAAATGATTAAAACACTCTACTCAACTCTTTATCCGAGTAGAACTTTTCAAAATATAGGACAAAAAACACTAATGTAAATAACGAAGCAAATATAGATCAGAAAATTAATCAGATGTAGAGTCTGAAAATGTTTCAGTGCATTTAAGCAAATCCATAGACCTCAGAAAGCCAGTAACTAAAGTGAGTTTCTTGTTGTAAGGTCCCAGTTGTGATCGCTTCTATGATGCTCTCCCGAAAACAAGATTAAGGGATTTGTTTTTGAACAAGATTTTGATTTCTGAAATATGAACTTGGTAGCTTTCGTAGTTTGATTGGCTATTGCAGTGTAAGACTGTAAACACCATATTTCGGAGATGGTTTCCATAATACAGTGCTTCTGATAACATACAATAAAACAGTATCCATTTTCAAGAACATATACTTGTAGTGACTCACATTTATCACGAGAACACAACTGGTTTAATAGAAACAATTATTCTTCTAACCAACTGTACCAGTGCTTGTTTTAATGTGCTTTTGTTTGACTGTGCTAATGACAGCTATTTTGTGCTTCCATTCTTTTACTTACACTTCGATTGTAACTTCGCGCGAATTCGGTTACCTTCTGTAACCAAGGTTGTATCCTGGCACGATCTCGGTATCCTTTCGATGCCACGAGATCGCCAGCAAATATACACCTCGACTTGGTCCATTAACTGCCTTCTGATATTTGGCTTCTCGGAGATTTTATGGATCTATTTGGTTACGTCCAACCCTCGCCTTCTGATTTATCTGGCACGTGTTTCTTGGTAGCGGTGTTCATAGTTAACCTCAACTCGACGCCACGCTACATACTATTCTTACAGATCAGAATTATAAATGAAAAAGTTAATAAAGAATCAACATTCGCTTAATTTGTATATGCCATGTTTTTATCAATAGTTTGTTTATCACGATAAGGTCTACACTAATTTTCACCTTAATCCATCCGCTATATTTTTTAGATAAAGTGACGGTTATTGTGTATGCTTGAAATATTGACTATTCCAAAAGTTTGCGGGACATGTTTAGGTTTCAGGTTGTGACCCTGAAATAAAAAGGTAACCTAACTCAGTGAGAATTAGCCAAACGCCAGTTTTTGATGCCGTGCTTCAAGCATATACTAATATTTTCTATGTAGTGGGTAGCCAGTAAGTAGACCTGCTATCTAGATTTTCGTCATCACGTTAATTTACGAATACATTGGAACCAAATTACATTTGCGTCACTGAGTTTACTACCACTGCTCATACCTTACTTAGTGAAACTAATAAATAACGGAGACAATACTTTTCAACTGGTTGTATACAATGATGGCAAACAACTGATACTCTGAGATGACATAGTGATAGTAATGAAATGGGCATCAAAAGCCACCAACGCACACTTAGCAATTTTGTGTCACATAGAATCGAAAAGCTATGTAAATAATCAGTTTCAAGAGATGGACGTACTGGAAAATAAGGAAGAATATTAGGAAGTCGGAGAGCATCTAACTTTTGTGAAGTAATTTAGGAAATATGTCATGCAAATTTCTATGCATCAGCCTCACTGACCTGTTTGGATGTAACGTTTTGACCTTTTCTTCACAAAATGATTCAAGTTCAGCATAACGTCCGACTTCACCAGACCTGAAATTATGACATATGCATATGTGTTACATGTAACACTGGTCAATACCTCAAAGTTTTCAATATTTTCTCCAATTCATATGGGTCATTGCAAGAATCAAGATATTTAAAGTCCAAATGTGATATAGGAATATCATAGGTTTTTGTTCTTTCGCTAAAGTAAACACTATCACTCATTGATAGGATAAATTGGAGTCAAACAACTGCTGTTTTCAGTAATTAGCACGTTTAAGCAATAAAACAAATCATCCTATACTTTAAGTCTTTAGTAATAAATATGAAAGAATTGCCCATTTGAGGTACGTTTTCTGGTAATTGTTTCTCTGAATGTTCTATTTTCTGCCATAAATGTCAACTCATGTGCTTATATTATCAGTTCAGACAAAATATTCCAACAGCTGACTGACTTACTGACGCCTGTTTCGGAAAAAAGATTATGCCCTTCCACACAGTTTACAAAAGTCGTCCGAATAATCTTTCTCATTAGTTCGACAACTACATTGATTAAACTAACGGATTGGTAGTTATTAGCCAAGTCTCTGCTCCCCGTCTATACGTTGAAATGATTACTGTATCTTTTCAGTCTCTTGGAAGTCTGGAATGCTTCGAAGATGTGTCAACCAGTATGGCTGTCGGTTTTGCAATTACATCTGATTGACCTTTCCTAATCCTACGTTGAATATCATCAGGACCACTGGATTTATCAAGTCTGAAATTGTGTAGTAGTCTCCCCAAAATAAATAGCTCTGTAGGTTCTCGACACTGAATACTGACCACATTTTTTAATGAACTAACCTAGCTGAAGGCGCTCCGTCATGCATCCGCACCAGATCACAGCAATCTCTAGCCAGATTAGATCAGACGAATCTCGATATATTGACAGACTATCAAATATGTCTTCGAACCTCCTCACCTCTGTCTTTTGATTTCCCTTGGTGGGTATGGTTCATATTAAAAGGTGTTACTGGTTGACGCGTTGTCAAACTGCGAATACCTGTGGTATCATCAGCAGTACCTTTCTCAATAGCTACAGGGTCCATCAACAAGCCGCCGCAATCACATTTATTCGTTAGTCGCTCCTCGTTGCTGATAGAAAACATTTTACTGAAATATCCCGATAAAGCTTCAACTTTTTCGACGTCATCTCTTGCCCATATTAACGAATTTTCTTGTACCAAAAGTGATGAAGTTCCATCACTTTTCTGAGTTTGCCTTTCCATATACGAGGATGACCGTTTTGCACCGTTTTTACGATCTCTAACCAATCGCTTTTCATATGACTGTCTAGTCTTATTTATTAACACCTTACGAGCACTCCTAGTCTTAATGTAACTCGGTATTTACTGTTCATTAGAGATGAACAAATTCCAATGCATTTTCCTACGTCCAAGAAGTTTCCTGACTTATTTAGTTATCCATGGTGGAAAGTTATTCGGTCTACGTGGTACCAAGCACTGCATAAACGAGGACGTAACTGAACTAAGATTGCCCTCAAATATAGAGCATGTTTCTTCAACTGATAAGGTAGTATCTACTGACCAATCTGTCTTAGCCGCGCACTCCTGAATGACCGATATGTTAGCTCTCCATATATCTGGGCGAGGTCTAACCTAATCGTATATCATGTCACTAGCTCTTGCCATGAATGGCAAAACAGTGTGATCGCTATTCATTAACGGCGGAAGAATACTTAGGTTGGCAACATCCTCAGTCGCATGATTGATTACCAAGTCTAACAAAGAATAACCTTTGTTTGCACTGAAACATGTAGGTTTGGATACATGCTATTCTAATGCATGCTCCATCACCGTTATCAGTAACATCCTGTAAAAGGGGTTATGGATCCTACCGTGGCCATCGCAGTCCAACTAATATCAGGTGCATTAACGTCTCCTAATATCAAGCATATGTTATCTACATACCATAGTTGTATGTGCTCTAAAATAAAATCATCAGCTAAGTGAATTGGGCTGCGAAAGATGACACTGAGTATAAATGTACAACATCCGGTAGTCAGCTCACAGCTAATGGCTTCACAAGTTCTACTATCATGCGATTAACAAGCTAATGAGAGGATACTTATATAATTGGCTATGTATAAAATGACGCCACCTCCTTTCTTACATCTATGTCTATCACTTCTTAGGTAATGGTATCCGGATAATTCTGGAGTAATGTCGAAGTCATGGATTGACCAAGTTTCTGTCACAGCCACAATGAGTGACTTTAACTTGTCCACTATCGCTCCTAATTCATAGAATTTATTTCTCAGACTACGAGTATTGGCACACAAAACTCCTAGTTAGACCGGCCTATCCACACATTTTATAGGGCGTGAAACACTAATGTAGGATCTATTTGTAATCTAAGGAACAGAAAGAGGTTTGGATGTCTGAAACACTTGCATTTATTCTCACTAATATTCCTGTAATATCGTTATTCCTGTTATACGACAATTAAGGTAGCCAATGTAAATGGTTACAACAGAGTAGTCGAAGCTAGATATTAACCACGAGGTGTGAATTCAACGTAAGCTGAGAGGTAATGTCATTACTGTTCAACTGGAATATACATGCAATTACCGACACAGATCATCTACGTCGGTGGTCAACAAACACATCGAGTCGCGTCATTACCCACGTCATAAGAGCCAAAATACTGACACATAGCGCAAAGATCCGTAAAGCTTTCGAACTTTATTTGTTCTGTGCTTTTTTCTTAATATACGCTTTTTTCATCATCATCAGCCACGAGTAGAATACAATCATCAAGGTCACTCAAGACGTCATTCAGTTAGAGGAAAGGTATAGTCTCCTCTAGTTTTACACTAAATTACCCGTTTATCTAGTTGTTTGTGTTTCTTCACGATCTAAGGTTTTAGACTTTCTGACATCTTAGGTCTGTCATCCAAATAATAGTTTGTCGGCTTGTGCTAGTCTTTATAACAGTACTTTTGTAGCCACAGAATAGTTTATTATCTTGTTCTAGAAAACTTAACGACTAGTTTCACTTCTTGCAGAAAGTATTGATTAATAAAGTAAGCAATGTCGCATCCATTATTTGGCACACTTTATAACATATTTTCGAAGTATATATACAACTGCATATGCTGGTTAAAATACTTTGAATAAAAGTTTTTATGAAATGAGCATGATACTTTGAACATCTTGTCAATGCTGATATTTTTCCTTACAACCTGTGCACTCAACGCTTCTGCGATTGCCTAAACTTTGGGACTTTCGAATTTTGTCCGAAATTACCAGTATTCTGATTCATTCAGATGTTTATTATGATGGTTAAAAATGTTCGTTGTCTATTGTCTTGACGTTTATTTCAGTCACTTAATGTGATGCAACGTGGAACCTGGTGCACATGCATGTAGGTTTACGTTGCCACACCCCATTAGTACAGAGAGATCACATTGTTAGTGCAAATTGCAGAATAGTAGAGGTGGTAAGTAGAATTTAGAAACCTGAGATCTAATGAACGACAAAGATTGGATGCCACTTCATCACTACAAACGATTCTAAGACGTCATGAAAGGTCTCTACTCGTTCTCTGTGTTAGTCCAGACCCAAATCAGGTAGTCCATCTGTTAACATAACACCCTTCATTTGTTAGCGACTTCATAGACTTGGACTACGTTTTAATTTAGCCACCCCCAGTTTCCAACCTACTCACACCAGACAACAAAGCCTGTCGAGGTAGGCGGTAATTGGGCATACGTAACATCTCCCAGCCACCTCAGCTAGTGAAGATTTACAATCTCACCAATCCATTTACCATCTTTACCTAGTGCCTTATCCCTGGCCCTGGCGTCACCTACTCGTTTGTCCTAAAGTATACAAGTAATTCTTCTGAGACACTTATAGTCGAACACTAGTTACCTACGGATATCCCATATTCCTATTGATCATGTTTCACATCCATAAAATAAAACGGTGTGAATTGCTGCTGGATAAAGTGCATTTTCGGGACCTAACCTAGTGGCTACTTATCGAGGGTACTATGTAATCGTCTTGCTGTCTCAAAAAGTTATAGAAAATACAATGGTAACAGTTTTAGCCTGAATTTGACTGAATACGATCGTTATAGCGACATGACCTCGGAATGTCGGATTTAACCTCACGTAAAGTTTTATGCACTGACTGCTGAGTGACAAGGTGAGATTCAATGTATGTCCAGTGTACCCCAGTTTTCTCGAATTTTCCGACCGGTTTTACTTCATGATAAGATCAGACTTTAAATTAAACAATTCCCCATAAACACCGATTAAATCGATGTACTTGTTCCGGTATGTTTATCCTTTTCCTCTGGTATTATGCTCGTTTTATGGCATCTTTCCAAGTCCTATTGAGGAGTGGTAAGTTAAGCAACTTCATCACGCTGCCATGAATCATTAAATCCCTATATTTTTTATTCATCTGAACAAATATTGTTACAGAAGTATCTATACTACAATCTTACCCGAAGCCACTGATTATTTTATTCGATCGCTAACTATTGTTACGTTCCTCGATATATTTGATGCTCACATAAATTTTGTATAGAAACCCTACATTCACTTACTGCCTACCAAAATATAAACTTCCAGCATCCCACGTAATTAGACTAATTTGTCTAAATCTGTGATTCATTGGTCTCCTTGTTCATTAAGTATCGAAATATTGATTTAAAATCAACTTAAACTAAAGAGCTAAGTGGTATAGTTATCATATTTAAGTATAGGATCGTTCAAAAAATAATTCTAGTTGTTACGGGGTTATACTAGCTATACAATTATATATTTAAACAATATCAGTTTTTTTCAGGCCTCTTTGTAACAATGTCTTCAAATCCAAACGACGTGACAGATCTTATAGCAAAAGCTGAAAAATGGTATACCGTACATTTTGTCTTTTAATAACTCGATTCAGCTTAAAGATATCTTTACTAAAGAGGAGGCCTGATTATGATGGTGCAATCGAATACTATGGAAAGGCTGCATTACTTCATAGAAATCGCAAGCAGTTAAAAGAAGCGGCTGAAACATATAAAAAGGTAGTTTCGTCTCTTAAAGATCGTTAGTCCTCAGGTTGCTGAACTGCATTTTAAAAATGGGTCTTATTTCCATTGCGCCAAACAATATGAAATCGCTGCACAAATGTACCGTGATTTGAAAGATTTTTCACAAATGG